CAATTTATGTGTCTATTCTACAGCTTATGAGGCACTTAAATTAGGTTTCTCTCCATAGAACTAGGCCTTCCGAACCCGACGTTTTCTAAAACTGATCTCTGTACGCTCTTTAAAATTTAACTGGGAAGATTTCACTAATCGTGCCTCTTCACTAGATGAATGGTGTCGCTTTCCTGGAATGAGATCATAGATACGAGCTTGAATGGATTGCTTTGGTTGTGAGTAAATTTCACTTGTTTCACTTCAAAGCACTGAACCTTCAAGTAGTTTTGTATGGCAGGAAAATTAAGGCAACAATCATGATGCATCATCTTGACCATAAAGTTCCTCATTATAACGGACCACCAGCACATTTTAGCCCTTAGCTTTATTTGTTAGTTCATTATCTAGATATAGAAGACGAAAGATTACGCACAAAAACTGTCTTTATGATTATGGAGCCAATTATACAGAATTCCTTCCCACAGGATATAATGATGCCACCATTTTAAAATAAAATTACCCATCTCTTTCGCCACATAAAATAGTGGACAAGTATGCAGCATACTCATGTGTTCCTTCTTAGCCCTTAAACATTTTATCCCTTCAAATTACGAAAGAACTGAAGAAAAAAGTGCTCATTCGTTCCTCAGGAATAAGATGAAAAGATCGGGTGTTCAATAATATAATCTCATTAAGCCTTAAGAGTGTTTGTGGAACAACCTAATATTATGTCTACATTTGGGGATTCACGGGTAATCTCAACTATAAACGAAGACGATCTGGTTTTGTTTTTTGTCCAACTTTAATGAAGCGTCTTTTGAGATGGTTAGTTCCAGACGAAGAAATAAGTTACGTTGTGACTCCTAAACTGTCATATAGTATGTAGTATGTGCTGATCTAGTATTAGGTCAACCTTTCGTTTGTGGTAGAACAGCGGAAACATGGCTATTCATCAATTTATTCCCACGAATGAGGTCACTCTAATGTCATCACTCTTTCAGTCTGTTCCAAAATGTATATTTCACATATGGAAGATATGGAAGAAGGATTGACTGTTTGGATTTCATGTTCCAGAAGGGGTTTAACTTAATAAGTGGCACATAGAATAGGTATTCATAGAAGTTACTAGAGGCATTACAAATTACCTACAAGATTGGAAAGCTTTCGATAGCATATTCCTCATTCTTTGGTTTCCTAGTGGTTTAAAGTAGAGAACTAATAATTTATTGACAAGTCATCATACGTATAAAAATATTTGAGGGCGTGATCGTGTTCATTCGTTATCTTATTTTGTGTCGGCAACATATTCTCTGTTTCACTCTGTTTATCAATGAAATTTTATTTACGCCTAACTAGGGCTGGCCAACTGAGCTGGTTTTGCTCATTGACGTGTTAGATGTTGTTACTAGAACAAAACTCTTCCTTAAATTTAAAGTTACCGGAAAATTAATGGTCAAGTTTATGCAAAGTCTAAATACTTATGACCAATAACGTTGTGTAGAGACAATTCGTTTGTACTTCATCCATCGATAGAATGTGGTTAGAGCCTGCTTCCAGAGATCCCTAGTTTGTTCACTGAACTGGCGAATTTAGATCTTTATGTAGCATCATTATATCGCAAAATCAATTGTCGTACTTACTACAACTAAAGCATGAATATGTTTGCATTACGGACGTTATTCGTTCGACATAAAAATGGTTTTGAAGTCTACAAATGCAAGACAAATATCAGAGAAATCAACAGAATAAAACATTGGAAACTAATATATACGTGTTAAAGTAGGATGAACGATGGAGCAACAAGTCTGTGACGACCACGACACTTACTTTCCACAGTAATAGTTTAGAGTGATGCTATGAAAGTCACAATTAAGTGAAAAGCATAACCAAATATCAATTTGTGTGAGTCCTATGCACGTGGTGAAGATGAAATGAATTTGAAAAAGTTGATTTGTTTAAGTGTAACACAAGATATTATCTCAATTAAAGCTTTGGATACTTAGGGATAATATTTACTTAGAAGAAAAGAGAAATATAAGAGAAGTGAACACCTAGTGAAAGAGTCAACTATGATAATGAGAGTGTAATGAATAACGACCTTTGAAGCAAACGATTAAATTTTTTAAATTATTTCAGTCCACTCGGGTAAATACACGTAAATGTATGTTATAGGATACAGAGTAAAACTTGATATTAGTATAAGCTTTTGTGCAATAATAATCTAGAATGATGTCATGAAAGTCACAAATAATTGCAAAGGATAAACAAACATAAATTTCTATGTGCTATATATATGTGGTGAAGATGAAACGAATCTGAGAAGTTAATTTACTTAAGTGTGGAAAGATTATTTGTTTTTAGTCAGAGACTTTGGATGTTTAGGAATATAATATGTTTATAAGGAAAAGAAGGGACGAAAAGAGTGTCTAATGTGTCGAGTGCCAATTCTCATCATAATGATCATGAATATGAACATAAGCGAATTTCAGATATTAAGACGAATAGAAAGATTTCAAAAGTTCACTTTACTTTTCAGTCAATTAGATAGACGACAGACCTTCTTTGAATGAATCATTGTTAGACACACTGACATTCAATAGGTGACAAAATCCACTTTCTAAAAGAAAATCATCGTAAAGGCTTCTGAACCAGATTGTGGTTTCTCTGCAACGGAGGTTCACTGGTAGTCTGTTACACGTGATTGAGTAGAGAATGACAAAAACATTCTGGCTTAAGGTTCTTAGAATCGCTAGAATATTTTCCTTATTGCGTAGATTGTGGAAAGATATCAGTGAGTACGAAGGGGTGGATACCAAAAAGTAAGAAAAACCGTTAATAAGCTGGTAGATATTGCCTGATCCAGAGAGGTTCGAATTTTGAGTTGTTGATATTTTTGGTGATAATCCTTGTTGTGGGAATACCCCAGAACAGCTCTAATGGACTTTCTTTGAACACCTTCAATTTTAACTACGTCATTATGCCTTCAATTACTGCAAACTAAAATACCATATTCAAGAATGGGTAAGATACGTTTTTGTATAATAATAATCTCGATTCGATATTATGGGAACTTTGCATTATGGATCCAATGAGCCTTCTAGCTTCGGATGCTTGAGATGCAGTATGTTCGGAAAATTTCTAAGTGTTGTTATATCTCAAGTCCAAGTCACATACAGTGTTGAGAGGTTTCAGTGTATGTTTATGTATAGCCAAATTTGGGTTAAAGCAGAGGCCAATGTGAATAAATCCACTTTTGTCTAACTTAGGCTAATTCCACGAAACAATCCATTCGTACAACTTAGTTATTTCTTCCTGGATTACCTCTGAAATATAGTTTTCTGTGGTGGGAGAAGAGAATGAATAAACCACTTCTAGGTCATCGACAAAAAGGAAAGGTTTAGTGCATTGAAAGAGTGAATACATGCCGTTGATCAATAGAAGAAAGAATAATGGGCCATTCACACTTCCTTGTATAAACCCACTGGTTACTTCCACAGGCTGAGAGTGGCAAGATCCAAAGCGAACGATTTGACTACGTTCTGCTAAAAAATATTTGGGGAAAGATAAAAAGGGAATTCTGCATGCTAAATGGAGAAAGTTTTGGAAGAAGAATTTTGTGTGAGACACTGTAAAAATGGTAGTAGCCGTTTGCGGATGATTTTCTCCATGGTTTTTGATAGCATAGATGTCAAATTAATGGACCTATAGTTGGCAATATCACGACGTTTTCGCGTTCGAGTGATAAGAGATGTTTTCCATACAGATGGGTAGGTCCCATATTCCATAGACAGGTTGAACAGTTTTAAACAAAATAATGGGAATTCTGTACTACCACATTTCACAAATGATGAAGGAATCTCGTCAAGCCCACCGTCATAGGAATTTTCAGAGAAGTTATGACCCACTTGATGTTGGTGGATAGATGTCAACATTGGAAATGTATAGATAGAGGTTTCAATTTCAGTATTGCAAGAAATGCTGATTGAATTATTCACAAACAGTATTAGGGTTGTCAACAATGCTTCCATTATCTATGAAGAATTCAGTCGTACCAAGAGAATTTGATTTCACATGGGACTTGAAGTATTGGTAACGCTAGGCTTTTACTACCCAGGGCTTTATTTTCTATATTCATAAGATAATTGCGTTTAGATGAAGCATTTCTATTGGTCAATTTAACTATACTCTGGAGTGCATACATGCCATGATGTTCATGTTAGCGGTGTTTCAATTTTCTCAGCTTTTTCTTGAAGGATTTCATAGTATTCTGGTCCCTGTTAACGTTATAAGCCACGTGGCCAACAAATACGTCATTGCAGTCAAGGCAATATATCAAGTCGTGGTATAAATCAGAAAGCGCAGCGTCAATATTATTTGTGGTAAAATAAGGATTTTATGGTGAACTTTGAGTAAAATTTTCAGTGCGCTACCAGGCTCGTTGATCGAACTGTCTGCTCTTGTACGTCATTGCAGCTCCATAGTTCGTTTGCATAATGTTTAGAGAATGAATAATTTTCAATACAACTCTATGATCATTCATAAAAATCTCATAACTGATGTGTACTGAGATAGAGTATATGTTTATTGCAAATAATGACTCAAGTATATTATTCCTCCTAGTCGGTTTTCGGTCTTGCTGGACTTACCCACAAAGTTCTGTTTCAACTAACTTGTTAGATCGACCTGATACCGAAGTCGAGACCACCGGGCTTCATTAGTTTTCAATTCTAGAAAAATAAGACTGTTGGCGGCTATAGGTGAACACTTTGAAAATTTAAAATTTAGGAATTATAATATTTAACACTTCTAACACATTGCATTGAAACCAAGAAACCTAGAATAATATCTGCCCTTTTGCAAGAAAAAATTAAAACATGCTTTCATTAACTAAAACTCAGTATTCTGATCAAAATGACGGGTCAGGTGTCTTAATTTTCAAAAAATGTAAGGTCTGAAGAACACCTAGGTTTGTTTATCTGAATAGACAATTCAGTTTTGAGGTAATCGTCATGTAAATAAAAACGTTTTACTTTCAAAATGCCAAGAAGTGCTAGAAATGTTAAAAGCAAAACACCAAGAGCCTCAATAGGCGTTTCAGACTGGGAATCAAAACTTTGCGATCTCAATTTGGACGATGTATGTAGATTCTTGAAATTTTTATAGTGTTCAGGAAGTATGGAAAATGTCACTGTCCATTCTTTCACCATCACTATTAACGGAAAATGAGATCATATCAATTTTAGCAGCAAGCATCGTCAATGGGCAGCGTCAAAAATTCACGGTAATAACATATGAAGATGTCGTGAATCAAATTTTTACTCAATGTAAAGCCAAAAGTCAGAAGGATGCTCCAGAATTTTTTGAGATATGCAATGTGGCTAAAAATGCCATTGAAACCGTCGATGAATTAAATCCGCAGACACTTTCAAAAGTTTTGAAGTTTATGTTCAACAGCATAAAAACACTGGACATTAAGCAGCAGTCATTAAGAAAAGTTAGTTTAATAATAATTTCTTGAAAATATTCACTGAGATTCGTTTTATTCCAGTATTGTGCCAGAAAGTTAGCGAAAAGAAATTATTCACCATCCTATCTGATATGTATATTTATCTGACTTCAACTTCAGTCTATTGGTGAACTCTTATTAGCGCTCGTTTGCACCTGTTTATGGAAAATGGGGGAACTTTGAGCACATTAAAATATTTCGTCAGTTCACATTTTTTTTGAGTGCTATTTTTCCGTGAAAGATATGCTGTGTTCTAGGTGGGGCTAGATACCGAAGCAGTTGCATGTATATCTTTATGTTTTATCGAACATTTCGCCGGTAATTACAATGTTAGAATGCCAGTGTGATAACTTTGTCACAAACCTGATAGCCTATCACATTATATTTGGCTGTTCAGTGTCTAAGCGTGTAGCCATTCTTGTTTGCTCTAAACAAGCCGCCAATTTAGTAGTAATCTGAACTATTCCATCCAGAACAAAGCTATATTAGGAGGGATTTCACAGATATGTGCGGTCTCTTAAGTTACAAAGTTGAACAACAACATTACAACCCGTGACATCCATCTTGTTACTAAGTACTGTCAATCGACTAAGATGTGGGCTGGCTACCTTTATTTTGTAACATATTGTAGAATATTCATTCAGAAGCATTTCACTATTAAAAGTCCTAAAATACAACCTTTGCGAGTCACGTTTTGCGTACTGAAGGTAATTGAGTAACAGCGCAGTATAACACTGATATGTAACTTAAATTTACACATATGAGACCCCTACCTCTAACCAGAATTTGGAGTGGTTGCATATATCTTACTAAACTGCAGTTGAAGTGGGTTTTTTGATTTTCACTTGCATATTGAGGATTTGTGGTTACGTCTGATGAATCTACTTTGATCGGAAACGCTAAGTTGTATTTTCGAAAGTTTCTAAACATAACAAACCCTTTATTAGTTTGCTATCAGCTACCTATTCCCAGGAATAACCAACAGATTCTATGTGATTTGAGTCAAATGGGTTGTCGATCGAAGCCCTTCAGTTCTTTGTTTCGTGATTATGCACTGCTGTACTTAAGCCGCTTTAATAAGACTCCTCACACTTCCATAGTGTATTCATCTTATTCCAAACTTAATGTGTTAAATGTATGGAGATGCATATCCAAAACTATCGGCTGTTATGTGCGCAAATAAACTTAGTCTATATAGGTATCCAACACTCATATCACTTACCGAGTGATACACAGTTAAATACATAAAATGCTAAGACAGTTCTGAATTTAATTTTACTATTCACTTCTTATCCGTTATTTAACTCTCTATGTCTTTTCCTGGCCAACATTTGTATTTTGATTTCTATTCCATTAACCATCGTAGTATGGATAAATATTCCGTCGTTTTATTTTCCTGTCCACCCATTCATGAAGTTGGCGAATAAATTTATTTGGCTAAGGCGCTGATAAAATGCAGAGTCTTCTGACCACTCTAAGCAACAATCCAAGCATGTTCGGGATGCGATTCTCTTCCTCGAAATGCAAAATGTTTCTTCAGGACTGGCCTGCGTCAACACTCGAACTAAGGATAGAGAGTGAAGTAGTTGAGCTTGTCGACCGCTTCACTTATCTTGGAAGTCTCATCAGCCCTTGTGGTCTGGTGTGTGACGAAATCTCAGCACGGATACAGAAGGCTCGACTAGCTTTTGCCAACTTGCGTCATTTATGGCGTAGGCGAGATATCCGTCTATCAACCAAAGGACGTGTTTACTGCGCAGCAGTTCGTTTCGTCCTACTTTATGGGAGTGAAACATGGCCGGTATGAGTAGAGGATGTTCGTAGGTTACTAGTATTCGATCATAGGTGTCTTCGAAACATTGCTCGTATATCCTGGGACCACCGAGTAAGTAACACAGTTGTTAGGAAACGGGTACTAGGTAAGGATGGCAAATCAATTGGTAAAGTAATGAAACTTCGTCAGTTGAGATGGTTGGGACACGTGTTACGTATGTCCGACCACCGACTGCCTCGACGTGAGATGTTCAGTGGTATAGGAGTAGGTTGGAAGAAAGCTAGGGGAGGCCAGACCAAAACATGGCACAAGTTCATGAAATCACTGACAAATGGACTGAGTCATGTTGATAGGTGTAGACTATCTGGTTGGGGACTGCGAGATGAAAGCAACCGATGGTTAGAGACCTTGAATGACATGGCTCAAAATCGTTTGCAACAGCGCAGGTGCATCCACTCTTTGTGTTCTCCCAAATTCTAATCTTCTGAATTTTCCATGTCCCTTTTTTTATCTTTCCAAATTTATTTCACTGGATTATACTCCTTGAATAACATCTTCAAGCCTTAATGTTTCCGATTACTGCTTATACTCTTACTACATCTACGACTACGGAATTCGAGTCGACAACTGCATCTCTGTGCTAGTATGGTGTGGCAACTCGAACTGATGTACGTACGTACGGAGTACTACGTTGCTACTGACTAACTGACTGAAAATCAGTCTCTTATCAAATAAATATCAGGGTAAAATGTAACGAATTTATGTACACTGAATTTGTAAATAACATCGTCCATTTATTTTAACGTCTAAATAAATTCCAGTTCTTCATTGGTTAAAAGTTCCGACGGTAATATACATTTCGGTTGAAAATTGTCTTTTACCAAATATTTTGGAAGTTTATTACTTTTGACTACCAATTAATGATAGAAAGCCATAAGCATTTTGAAAATAACTATGATTTGACTAATGCTTTGTTACATTGAGCAATATTTTAACTAACTAAGTCAGATGAAAGGATGGTTTAATTCAGTCTGCAGTTAGGAAACATACAGAAGCAATCCTTATTTATGAATAAGTGACTTGCTATAAGCGTTTATTTACCAACATATAATTGCCTAACTTCATTCTAAAATGATATATATATTGATTTGCTATCCGCAGAGTTACTGGTCTAACTCAAAATATTTCCACGCAAGGATCTTATTTTGTGTGTGCTTATTATTTAAGTTTTTTATTCGTCCCTGCATTTCGGCTAGCACAGTGGTAATACGTACGTTGTTTATAAAGTTTTGGCTCTTCTGAAATATGTTCTAGATGACTAGATCTTCAGCTTGATGGATTTTTATTTTATGTTGAGTACTTTAAGAACAGATGACCTAGGGTACTTGATAACTGATTAACCAACAAGTAAACTTAGTAGTGTTACTACTAAAACAATCAATTTATCAGTGCATCTGGTCGCTGATTTAAAAATACTTCGTAACTGAAATGAAAGACAGACAAACAGATCCACATATGAACCCAAAGGCTACATAGATTAAAACGACCTATTACATCTGACTGGGTTTTAAACAAACAGTAGAGATACTAATGAAAGGGTGCAATATAAAGAGAAGTGGAATGCTCAAATTATAAAATGCGGGGAACGAATTTTAAATAGTCATCTTATCAAACAATCTCTTTATCCAGCTGATTGAGAATCGTCTCAATGTTTCTGGAGCTTCGAGTCATTAACTCTAAAGTGTAAGTAGATCTGCCTTAATTGGTATCTTATTATACACCTTATACACCTTGAATCAAGCTCTAAATCTTCAGTGGTTTCTGTTGATTTACTAACTTTAATCAGCATTAAAAAATGATGTAACGAGTAATTTGTTAACGGCTTTTTAGTTATGTTCTATAAAACAACTATCCTTTCTACGTGAATCAGTGTGATCCATATAACCGTGTGTGGACCTGGTGAAATTTGTATTCATTTTTGTGGAAATTTTCTCGTAAAATGCCAATGCAAATCCCAACCTCAGTTTAAAAGAAGTAAATCTTGAGTTTTATATCGTATGAAGTACGTTGCAAATAACTAGGTTTTTTCACATCTATCTCACAGCCAATTCCGAAGACTAACCATATGGAGGATACTAAGAAAAAAGAAAACCCAAAAGATAAAAAATCTGGTGCCAAAGTCATAAAATCACAAGAGCCACCAGTAAACAAAGAGAAAAGTAAACTTTATAAACGTGGGGAAGAAGCATTAGAAGAGAAATACCTGGGTAAGTGGGTAGCTCTCAGACAATCGCACTACAGCATGTTGTATACATGATGGTCTTTGTGTTTTCAAAGGTCAAAAACTTGTGAAAGTTTGTTTGTAGCATCTTTTCGTCCTCAGTATACGTGATGTTTTTGTCGTATCACGGTCAAAGTTAAGTCACTGAACCTTTACTTAACTCTTCTTATTTCTCCGATTATAGCAGTTGTTTTGAGTTAAGATTTTGAACAACAAGCATATTAAGTAAAAAACGATAGCTGCTCTGTCCCACGAAAAGTTTGGGCAAACCTTCTTCATTCATGAAATTTTACCGATTAATGAAAGTGTTGTAAGCAAAGAATACTTAATATTCATAATGGTTCCAAAATGGCTATTTTGATTTCATCGTGATGATTGGCATACATTTTATATACGATATATGCAAATATCGTTAAATGTGAAGTTGAAGATAGCTGCATGTTTGTTGCCTTCCTCACTTATATTCTTTTCCGGGCACTCGAGTTGCTTACGGATAATACGAAAACAAAGGTAATTTACCTTACACTGTAAACTAGATAGTTATGTGTAATTCGACAGTATGAATTGGCAGGCTTTCGTCGATAATTCCGGGACTTTATTCAAAACTTACAGGTTTTATAATTAATAATCTTCTTTGAATCTATTGGTATGTTATAAGTGATCGGTATTTTTAGCATCAATTTATTCATAGGTTTGCTACAAGGTATTCGTCTTTAAACCTGAAGGTCTTGACACTGATACTAAAATAATTAGAACTCGATACTAAAGAAACATAACTTGGTGTAATGCATAGTTTATATCTTTATTCGTGGTCTTGATAACCTCTACAATAAATGTTAAATCTTACAGTGACGACCATCTATTTGATCCTTTACCTTCGCTTAGTTGATGGCTTTAGACTGCCAGGACTCAAATGAACTATTACCCATTTACATACTTTAGTTCGATCTCCATTCATTCAGTATTTACTTCGCCCTTTTGAATATAGCATTGTTTGAGATTCCGGAAATGTGAAGAAATACATTGAACAGACTTATGTACCAGTGCAAAATAATCATTTTGACTTTTAATGTGAACAAGAGAGGAAATATAAACCATTAAAACTAATAAAGAAAACTTTATGATAGCTTCAAATAATTAGACATGACATTTCAACTTTAGATAAACAATAGTTTAGCATGTCCACTTTTGATAAAATGATTCGACTGGAATTCATATAAAAGAGGAAAATTGATAAGAACTGCTACGTAATTTACTTTTGTCAGAATTTTTTAAAGTGTCTTCTTATTTTAAAACTTATTTTTTTAACAAATTAATCCAACAGGTGATGAACCAGATAATGGAATCAGTCGATATATTCTTCTTGTTAATTTTGAAAAATGTGGACTTTTAGAAGAGTTATGTCGTCTAAAAATAGACATCCATAGTATTATACGTTTGCATGTAAATGATCAAAAACAACTTCAAATATTAATCACCAAACAGAAGGCTGAAAAAATGTGGGGTTCCAAAGGATGTAAGCAATGAAGTTAGTTGTATCATCAAAACACGTTCCGATCTTTTGTTTTTGCCCTCAGTCAGTTTAATAATTATGGGAGTGATTGATTTTTTGAGTTCGCTTATTTATTCACCTTACTGCCTTTCGCTTCACAGTCTCCTGTTTAATCAATGACGTAATGACCTCTTGACCAATCAACCAGCGGCTGAGAAAAATGACTGGGGAGCCATAATTTTGATTAGCTAGTGTCTAATCAAAAGGTATAGTTAGTGAGCACACATCTTCATTGTTTTATTGTCATCTTTAACCAGAAACTCGTATGATAATATACACTACACAGCAACATAAATTAGGAACTTAAATATGTACATAGCTAAGTTATAAGTGAAACAAAATCAGAGCAAAAGAGGAACAGTTGATTAATCCCAATAGTGGGATAGTAAAACACATAACAACCGTTCATAAGTAAAACGAGAGCTTACAATTGGGGGAGCATAAAGTTACAATAATTAGATAGGTCAAAAGGTTATAACGTTAGCAGTAGTCACCCTGTCATAGCAAAGCTTTATTATTATCAAAGGTGTTAATAATTTCCGTTAAAAATAATTATACAATAACTCGAACTAAATCCATACATTTTTTTGAAGTATTTCGCGATTTGCTTTAGTCTTGGATTAAGAAACACGAGATGAATATTTTGATTTCCCTTCACCTACTTATTATTGTGCCAAAACTTAATGTTTGCGGTATGTAGGATCATTTTCTTTTGTACCGAATCCTTAACGAAGTTTTTCAGAATAAAGAAAACAAGTTACAAATTTGCTGATACTTTATGCCAAACACGTTGACCATTTTTAGGGACTCAAGTCAATAAGTATTTGTATTTGTACCCAGGGTGATGCATAGCTAACATACAGGACAGCTTCTTGGGTTAAAACCGAAACTATTTTCATATCTGATTGAAAATATTATCTGTTTATAAGTATATCGGTAAGAGTCGGCGAATCTCATTAAAGTAATCTGATGCCAATTTCTCATTTATTAATTTAGATCTTGCTTCAGAAAGGAGTTTTAATAAGCAAATAAGGTGACTTCATGTTGAGAAACTGCTAAATTTTTATTAAGAATGTTAAATATCCATCTAATGTTATTCACATCATTCCATGGTGCACAGCTTTCTGCTATACCCTACATTTCATTCGTATAGTTATATACATTTTAAAGTGGGAGATTAAACTGTGAAAACAACTTGTATCACACATTGAAAACTTCCCGAAGATTTCTCTGCTCACGATAAGATGGGTACACAAAGCTTATAACATTAAAGGCTGATATTTCTGAAGTAAGCAGACGTCTAACAGTTTCGAATTCCGCTTTAGTTATTGCTTCAGGAAACAATATTTTGAAATTGATCAACTTATATCTATTAATTAAGATATGCAAACCACTTAGCTGACGCTAAGTAAATTATTGACGTACAAAGCTCGCAGAAATAATAAATATTAAAGGAATTATTTTTCCCTATATCACTCGTTAAAAAATAATTTTTAATTACTTCCTTTAAAAACTATTCATTCATTGGGGGAAACAGAGTCACAACATTTTTAAAATAAGAGGGAAAATGTTTATGATTAAAAAAAATACAAAAATGTTATTAATGTAGAACCGAGGCTATTCAGTTCTCATCACATAACAGATGTCCAATGCTCATTGATTTTCAATTGTTAGTTCATAGTTGCTGATGAAAAGTACGTTATACTTTTTGCATTTATTTAACCCGATATGGAGCTAATTATTGATTTATGCTTATAGGCTCTCGGGAGAAACTTCTGTTAGTTTGTTAGTTATCATATTTTTGCTGACAGTAAGTGAATTTAGAATGGATAATTGTATGACATTATATGTACCCATAATCAAATTTTATAAATCTGAAATAAAAAAACTATTAGTACCAGGAATATGTTTATAAGTCAAAGTACGTGTTTTCTTTCTATAACAAGTTGAATGTTATCACCCCATTTCTCCAACATAATTATTTCTGCATGAACTCATATGCATATTTTTATTTTAATTTCCAGCTGAACAAGATTTGGAACAGATGAGATCTGAAGAGGAGGCATTATTACTAGCAGAAGAACAATTAAGACAGTACTGGCGTACAACTAGTATTCTGATGCGAGATCATGTTTATGATCGTTTAGGAAATATTGCTACGTTAGATTATAATGTCAAAACAGAATTACTTCCTGATGACCTTAATGGGGCGGAAAACAGGGTTAGTTTTCCAACTTTCCAGGGGTGAATGCGTCAAACGTACTCTACTGTTTTTCTACTTACCATAAATATTCATAATTTGTTAAGCAGAAAATAAGTTTTCTTTATTCCTGTTGGGTACTATCCATCTAAGAAAGACTTTTAAACAGTTAGTCAAAAACTGAATCAGGTATTAATCAGAACTTCAATTCTGGCACGAAACAAAAGTCATCTTTATTTAAAGAAAGTTGCAGTGTGTCAGATTCTAGCCTTCTTTATATCGTCCGAGTGTGAAATTCAAATGTTTTACAATTTTCATAAAGTGTTATAATGATGAAATGAAGGTTCTCAATAAAAATCTGCATACCAAATAAAATAATTTGAAGGTAATTTGACATGAGCAGATAATCTAAAGAGATTTACTTTGGGGTTAAATTGTACCTAATGGCTACTAGCTGAAGAAAATATGAAAAATGTTTGAAAAGTGAAATGAAGGTATCGAAAACAGTTTAGTGAGATGATAGACATATATTACTTGAGTAATAGATGTATTTTTAACCTCAATTTTTTTAAAAACAACGAAAGGTTTTGGATTATCAATCAAAATCCAGGATTTATTTTTGATGAAGCTTCATAAAATAATTCATGTCGACCTATACCTCCTAAATATTCCACTCATCCGTAAAAGTGACATTAATGTGGTGAAATCCAAAGACAAACGATAATGGTTAACCAACTAATACAAACTTGAATATACAAGTCAAGACGAAACTAATGGGGATATGTATGTGTAGAGAAAACAGTTTACATCTAAACAGGAAACCAACCAAGAATAAAAGTAGAATAAGTCAATCACTGCTTTTCATCTAGTACGGATAAAGTCATGACTATTCATGCTCACGAAGTGCGTTCTCCTTTCACGTTTTAATAGCTGGTCTGAAGACAAGATGTAAAAAATCAGCTCTGGAGGGTAAAAGTATCTCAAGGATAAATTTGACTTCCTGTAAACCAGATTTTAACTGAAACTTGAAAGTAACAACTTATTTTATTGTGTGGCGTATGCTACTTATTTCGACAGATATAAGTAGTATGTAGCACCGATCGGGAGGTAATGTTTGCGAGCAGAAGACCGAGAAGACTGAAATGAAGAGAATACAGAAGAAAACTGGAAACAATCAAGGTAACAACAGGAATGAAGGAGTAATGAAGTTTCTAGGAGACAACTGATGGAAGATGTGTAAATGAAGTAGTTAATGTATGGTTTTTATATTTTGCGAAGACACTCTGTAATTTTGTATTAAACAATAACTTGCTCTTCCACATCCGAGTGTTCGTTCACTTCAGTTGTATTTCTATTCACTGGTTAACAGAAAAACGAACAAAACCTTATATTTTAAGCCATTGTTTATATTTTTAAAACAGTTTCTACTCATAAGTAGTTTATATAATTTAATTCATTTTTTAAGCTTATAGAATGGAGTTAGGTTCCTTTCACGACTCGACACCATTACATATCTACTACTTTGGAGGAATTCACACTTTATCGCAAATTCAAGTCTGGGCGCAAAATAACCCTGTAATAGCTCTAATTCTCTCAGTACATAGTTTTGTTTATTTGGATAATTAGTGGAATGTTACACACTTAAGGATTACGGATATATCTTGCTGATAGATGCCAACCAGAAAACGTTATAGTTACAGACTACTGGTCACTTGCCTTCAACAATTTCTTGTACAGGTGGAATATTTATGGATGTAATTAAGTGCTTACTAATAGGTTTCAGGTTCAAACCACACTTTACCTACAAAGTCTGAGTAGTCATTTATCAATACTAACCTGTCATTAGCTGAATACATGTATCGACCTTTAGTTACACCACCATTCACAAATCTGGATCGAAAAAAAGAGACACAGTCAGTAGTATCAAGTTTCGGAACTAGTAACACGCTTAAACTGAAGTTTAACATGAATTCTCATCGTTATTATTTTACTTCGTGAACTGTAAGGAAACTAATACTAAAAAATTTGCCCTATTCACCATTGTATGATGGTAAAGGTGCAAATTAACCTGCTTCGGATAATATTCATCTCACGAGTTTAAATCCTTCAAATTTTGTCTTCCTACACATACCACACAGAACTTTGGAAAATAACTTTAATAAGATTATTTGTGCCAGGAGTAAAATACTGGTCCATTAACACTGAAATCTTTATTAACCTATTACCAAATAAATCATACCAACATCTGATTAGAAACTGAGGCTTCATTAAAATCCACAAACTAACCTTCGTTGGCGTTAAAAAAATGTCAAACAGAAATGAAAAATCATACCAATCTGTTGTTAGGTTCAGAGTTTAGTAGTTAAGTAAAAAATTCGATGATAACGAATGGCTGGTGTAGGTAGGCTATTTCAGTTCCTAATGCTTATCCAATAATTATATATTTATAGTGGAACTTCTCAAATATCACTTTATTTTGAGGCATTTTGTGTAACGCTTGACATAATGCTTTATTTATTTCCACCTTTCTAGGCATCTTTTGGAGCCACGATGTTCAATGAAATATCTACTATTCTGTATGATCTGATAGACTTTAGACGCCAATGGAAAAATTATTTAGAACATATAAAAGTCATTCATTTACCTATATGCCCTCCTTTATTGAATGAAAATGATTCCGTAAGTAGCAACCAACTGTTGAAAATGTCTAAACCAGCAATCGGTTTACATCCAGATAATTTGGATAAACCTGCAATAAAATCTGAAGATTGTGGTGATATTTTAGCAGAAGACTTCGTTGATATGAGGTTTTATAATGAAATACTACAAGGTTTGCCAATCGAAAGTACTAGCGTTGAGCTAATACTTCATGCCGTATTAGAACAGGTAGGCCTTATAAAAATATTTTCTGACTACGCTTAGTCAACTGAATATGACTAAGAGGGTTAGTTAATTTTGATATCGGTTCTTATTTTCGTACTCCAGGGCACAGCTCAAAGGGAATTCATTTTCTTTCTGCCAACTTTTACAAGTCATTCACTCGGTCACAGCGTTCAGTCTTGTTTGTATGTATATCGGCTAGAGTTTCCACTTTTCAAACATGATTTCATTATTGCCTAACGTAGTTAGAAGTCTACATTTTGCCAGCGTCTTCACCAAACACATCTATATCATCTGTGTATTCTAACTCATTCAGTGAATCTACTTGCAGAACATCAACCTGTGAAAAGTCAGACGATGAAAGTGTTATCTCTGAAAAAATATGTATGACGAAGTTAAACAAAAATGGGGAAAACGGAAAACCCTGACGAGCACTACTTGAAGACATCAATTCCGATGACTGATCGTTATTAGCTCTTATTTAACCATTAGTGTTCGAGTAAAGAGAGCGTATATAAGGTTAACGTGTTTCTTTGGTAGGCGTTTCATTGACAGATTGCCACAGAACCTCACGGTAAACGGAGTTGGGCGCCAGCTTAAGGTTAAGGAATACAACTGTAGTCGGACATCGAAAAGTATGTTCCAGAACCTGTCGGGGTATTTTTATCAGATCACCCGGATTTTTGATGCATTCACGGTATTCTTCTTGTAAATTTGTGCATTTATGAATACGTTCTTGTAAAAATATTGTGCGTTGAGAAGCCTCAAGAGATCATCAGTAACATTCTGGTGGTTTAACAAACAGAGACCTGCGGATGATGTTGTCTTGTAAATAGTGTTTATTAAACATTATATGATTATGCCGATTGCATTTACACTTGCGTGATTGAATTCAATTACCAATGAGTTTATATATACCATTACCAAAGTCTGATTTGATGACTTTTAGTAAACCGAGTATTCGGTAGTTTTTTAAGTTATAAAAATAATGCATTTATAATGTCCAATGTGTAGAGAAGTTAACAACACAAACATATATGCAAGCATTTCTCATAAAAATAATCTTGACCGGAGTGACATAACATTCAATTGGCCAGATCTGTTTTTGATGACTGTACTAAATATTTTGTGCTTTGTTCCTTTGAACTATTTGAGCTTGGGTTAATTTAATTTGTTTATTTAATTTATCGTCTGAAGAAGTGCCTAACACCGACTCACGAAATGTTAGAAAATCTAATCTTTCTACTCATTAGGATATTAAAAATATATTACTTTTATATCGTAATGATCGCTTTTTAGAAAATTAGATGTGTAGCTGTAATGAAGTTATTATGTTATTTTACCTATAACCAACGAACTTTATTATTTTATTAACTTTTAATAGGTTATTGCTAATGAAAATGAGATTTTACCACAGGCGGCATTAATTGATGAGAAAGAAAAAAATGAGGGATATGATCCCCATATTTCTAGAAATATTGCAAATGAAGTAGATAAACTGTTCTTAACTGAAGAAGAGAGAGCTGTAAGTCAATGATTTTCTTTTAGTCATTACATAGACAAACTGTTCGATACTTGATTCTTTAACTTTAGACTAAAAACCAAAATTTTGTAAGGTGGTTTATTTTAAGAGTTGTCAAGGTTATTATCAAACGAGATTGTGTTTAAAAATCATCGAATTATTCATTTTGAGATGTTAGTTCTATTTAAGGTATGACTTTGAGTTATTCATTTTGACAAATAGTCAGTCACCATAAACAAAGTTCCTGAAATGAGTGTTCCTCAGTCATAGTTGTTACATCTCACGTCACTGAGGTCAAAGGGAATCAATAATCTGAGAAACATAGGATGGGAAACAATATCGAAAGCAATGAATGTTTAAAAGTGAAAAGTACAGTTTGAAAGAATCAAATGGGCTAAACATATAAGACTTCCAGAATATTGTTTAACTTGTGAGAATGAATATAATTGTGTAAATGAAACTTGTTTTCCACCATGTTATACAACATCTCGAACCCGCGATTATGAGTATTGTGTAGATTGAAATTGACAACGCGACGCCCAATGTTATGTTTGTGTATGTGCGTGGTACTCTTACAGTACTCCCGTGATCTTGTGAGATATTAGGTTCTGTCGGAGATATATTGTTCTTTCTGAATTAAAGCAATTAATATTTTATAATAATAGCCTACAAAAAATATTCACTAAAAATGCATTGAAATGTGTAAATGTCATCATCGTTCATTTAATACATTACAGTAAAGCTATAGACGTAAATTTCTTATTCCTAATCGTATGCTCTTAAGCGATATCTATAAATAAGTCGCCTTGGTCGCATAACTTAACATAAAACTGTATTATTAATTTGTATGATGAGTTATTTAGTGAACTAATATCATAAACTATCATTATTCCACTTCTCTCTGTTAATTTATTAACGATAAAAATGAAATTTTACGTCAGCATAAATTTTTCTACACTACCATATTGATTACTTACTGTTAATGAAATCACATTACTAATTTATGTCGTCCAGCAACATACATTTATTTATGTAATCACAAATATTGACTTCACGATATGATAAGACAATACTAATTCTAGAAACTAACTTTATTCGATGAAAATTGAGTGGATTTACAATCGATTTATCATCAAGTGGTGAATAATGTTATTTTTTCAACTCTTTCATAGTACTGATCGAATTCTGCTAATCAAATTTTAATGTGGCAATCAGTTTGAGTGACACGTGATTGAATTTGATAGTTTTCTCAAGACTACAGGTACACTGTGCTAGCTAGTACTATAATGCACAAAAACTAGGCATAAGGTCTCTTACCGATAACTTCCAACTACCTTACAAAGTAAATGAATGTTTTTTCATCAAAATTCTACAATATGTAAAGAAAATACACTCTATTTTATAAAAAAGTCAAACAAAATTTGAAAACTACACAAACCTTTTCTTCAAGTTTTGTAGCATCTTTAAAAATCTTCGCCAAACTGTCATCAAGGAAATGAATTCACAACTAATTATTTCATATTATACCATAATTACAGATCACTGAACGTATTAAATGTGTTTTAATTAAACACTATATTTTACTTAACTTCTTATTATTTAAAGCTCAACAGTAATGTTTAAATAATACTGGATAACTTTGTAATGGGTTCATTTCTAGTAATAAAAATGAACTGTAGCAACTATTTTAATAAAGTACTTCTAATCAAGATAGATATTTATTTTTACGAGTTCATATCACTATACAAATTAATTATTAACAATTATTAGAAGAATGGGTTTCGTGGAGATTTTTAGCAATTTCACTGGTTGAAATCATGAGTCAATTGAAGCTAGACCACCATGGAAAACCTGGAAGCACTGGACGGCCGTTTCGTCCTAGTTAGACATTAACACCGTTGGATGCCGGCTCAGTGGTCTAGTTGGTTAAGCGCCTGGCGCGAGACTGATAGATCCTGCGTTCGAATCTCGCGGGGGGCGGGGTCGTGGTTGCGCACTGCTGAGGAGTCCCATGCTAAGACGAAACGGCCGTCCACTGCTTCTACGTTTTCCATGGTGGTCTAGCTTCAATTGACTCATGATTTCAACCAGTGAAATTATTAGAAGAATATACATTTATTGCTAAAATTATTTTCATAGTAGACAACATGGTGAACAAACTGAAGGTTATGATGTTTTCTAATTTAATAATATACAATAAAAACACAAATTATACATTGAACAAAATTTTATTGATTAATTCGAAGAAAAAGTGAAGAAAATCATAGCAATTTTAATTTAAACAAATTACTTTTAATTCTTTAAAATTTACTTGTTATACTTTAAAAATTGTTAAATAACTTGATTTTGATACCTTAAAAATGGGTTTTATTCATTTAAAAATTAATTTCAACTTTTTATTGTTGAATCTGATGAACACTGACTATTATCATAGAATAATTTTAATAGTTGAGATCATGAGTTAATTGAAGCTAGACCACCATGAAAAATCTGGAAGCACTGGGTGGCCGTTTTGTCCTGTTGTGGAACTCCTTAGTAGTACGTATCCACGATAGAATAATTTATACTATTAGCATTAAGGGTTTGAGATGTCTTAATATTAATATTTAGGACTGAGTTTTGACCGGCCTTTGTTGGTATATATGAGTCCTTTGCCTGATGACTTCATAAGTCCATCACAAGTTATTTTAAATGAATGGATTTTGGCTAGCAGTGAAATTCAGGACGTGTGTTTTATTATATTAGAGATATCATAGTGTGAATGTATCTGGATTATAAGTATCTGAATAATAAATCCCATACTCACTGAGTATGATGACGCGTTGACGTTCGAAGTAATATGTACTGGGTTCGGGTCTCAGTATGAGCACCAATATTGGAATATGGGTACCTCTTTCTGACAGGTCCCAATCATGATGAAACGCGCTTCTCAAGTTCTACTGCTAAATACAGTCCATCTATTCTAAATCGAGAATAACAATTTCCAAAACATCATCCCACACAATAATGAAAAAATCTTGGTTAATATAGCAGCATGTCAAGTGTAATAAGACGTTTAAAAATACTTTTTTCAAGGGTGTCATTTGTTTTATTCTTGTGGTCGTTGTGAAAAGTTAGGTAACACATTAAAACATATTGCTAGACTGTAGAAAGCCTGAAAAAGTCTGAAAATCAAAATGACCTGGAAATAGGAGCTAAAATTGATATTTTAAAAACGGATTTGATTGAAAGGAATAAAAATGTTACAATAAAACAACAAAACCCATAGAAATATGTCATAGAAGTGGCCCAGTCTATAGCAAAATAAATAGAATTAAACAAAGACAGAATATAACGTAAAACAATTGGCTTAGTTGATTGGTTTGTGATGATTTGTTTATCAGAAAGCTAGTTTTCATTGCGAACAGACAGTGATCATAGAAATGACTTTAAACCATTTTATATTAAACTGATATTTTGTTATAGTTTAAGTTTCACTAACAATTGTCAGTCATTAACTTGCACGACGATGAGCTCTGAATGTGTTCATTTAGAAGAGAATTTTCATTACCAGTCAAGTTTTTCGTTTCTAGTTGAATTTTATTATAGTTTTGAACTGCTTATCTTTTGTCAAAATTTGAACAATTAAGAGAGATATAATGCAAACTTTAAGGGATGATGTTAAATCGTAGTTAAATTGTAATGTGCATAAAAGTAGTAGTTTTTCATAAAGATTTACATGAGAAAAGTATATAGAAATATGAACAGACATTTCTATAGATTGGAATATAGATGACTAAATATAATAGTTTCCACCCAAGAAAATTGTTTTTGACTGTAGATGCTAATTGCCATGGTATTTTACAGAGACTATAATAGTGAATTGATATGATTGACGAAGTCATTAAAATGATATTGGAAGGAAAAAGAATAGCTAGTCAATTCACGTTGCTACACCTATTGACGTAATGAGAGTAAAATAATTAGATAAACTTATTTTTTTACTTAATAAGTTTATTAAAATAACGTGAATTTTATTCAAATGCTTAAGTGATGGTATTCAATCTTTATGGTCATTTTACATTTCTAAAACCCAACCAACCCACTTACATGTTCTACTTAGTTTCTAATATGTTGGAACTGGTATAGAATTTATCGAGTAAATGTTTTCACCTAATTAGCCTTACATTTCTCTCAACTTTACTCCACCTCTATCAAGATGGCTAGTCAAATTAAAGATTAATTAAACCATGAAAACGACATACTGCATTATGCAGTTTAATTCAGTTAAAAGGCTTGTACGTTTTATATCTAACCAAAGAACAGGCGAATAGTAACCACTAGAATCTGTTTGTGGACTATCATTATATACATTATTATTTTAGAACTATTAAGCAACTATGTTGTGTGTATGCTCATATTCCGCATGTTATATGATTCCATTTGACCTATTAACTACTACTATACGACTTACTATCCTTAAGTTCTTCCTAACTTATTAGTTACAGTGCTTCACAGTCATAGCTACTTCTCGGCCTGATTTTATAGAATTGTTATTTTTTTATTTTATGATATGATGCGGTCTGGTTTGTTTGTAAATAAACACAGTATGTTTAAAATATATGATTCGTATAACGGAGGCTGATATTGGTGTTCTGGACTAAACTGGCTGTGTTAGGCAAGAAGCTACTATCTCGGCGGAACAATAAGAACTCAGAATTGACTATGGACTGCTTGCACTGGTTTATGCGTTATGGGCCTGTTCATTAAGTTGGTGTTCTAATTGGAGATCATATCACATGACAGTTAACAGGCTATAATGACGTAACACAAAACAGCTGAAATCTCTTGAAGTCAAACATTGAACTAGGATGCTCATGGATTTTAATTGATGTCCTTGAAATGTATGAACTAAATGATCGAGGTCGCCAGTTTATAAACAATATGACCCTAGGAAAATGTTATAGCTCATAACATATAACTTTGAAGTAAACAAATTGAGCTTTCATGCTTAGACAATCGACTCGTGACTAATTTAGTTTTACTTAATAATTTTACTGGAGTTATTTTCTGTGTGTTTCATTTTTAGTTGTAGCAACACCGTGAAAACTCAATTTTTCTATACGTTCGTAATCTCTAGTTTTATGTTTGTTAGTCTACCAAAAAAGATTTATACAGGAAAACAATATTACTTAAACCTATGTAGGTAATATAAAAAACTACTGATTCATGTAAAATTCGACTGCATTTCGATCAAGTGCTAATCTAGAAATTTGAAGATAAATTGCGATAGAATTATAATTTACATTTTGTGATATCTTGAATTCGAAAAACAAGTTGATTCACAGTCACCACAACATTTCCAGACAGAGGTCTATTGTAACTTTTTAATAGCACTATTATTCTTAGTTAATACCTTTCTTTACGGGTGAATTAGTGAATTTTGTAAATGAATTACATATTGTTCACATGACTTCTTAAAAATAACAAAATATCCACAGCTAGCTTATAGAATAGAATTACTACTGGTCAAATAGCAAATAGTCTTTTTTTATAGGAAACACAGTCGCGGTATTCGTGAGCTTATATTTATCATTACAGATGGATATTTTTCCAAATAGATACTTATATATCACGTGTTATTGGCAATGGTTGACACAAACTTTTATCGCATAACATATTTGTGTTGACAGTTTAATTAAGAATTTCACAATGGCCTATTATTACTTTGAAAATGCTTTATTTTGAATCGATATAGGGTACAATATTATAATACTTTGTCAAAACTAATTCTTTCTTGTAAAGTATCTTTAAATTATAAGTAACTCTAGTAATTGTGATCAGATAACTACAAACACGTTAATACAGAAATACAATTAATTTATCATTACGATGTTATAATTTTAAAATGATTTATCTTATCAACTTGAATATTTAAATTTGATCATTTTGGAATTAACATAGGAATTAAGTGAAGAAATGCCATTACACAAAAAATCAGTTAAATCTTCTTTGAATACTTCACCATTTATTATACTTCATCCATATGATGAAAATCGATATAAAACATTGTTTACAGCACATAATAATCAAAATAATGAAGAGTTAATGAATTCTGAATTGAATTTATACAGTCAATTATTCCCAAGTATATTTAATAATACTTGTAAAGAAAATACAAAATTTGAATGGACACCAGAATTAAAGCTTGATAAAAGTAATAAAGAGAAAATTGGAAATGAAATACTCGAAGAAAGTTATAAGCGAATGAAAGAATTGAGATTTCATCAAATTATGCAGTTTGCTGAAAAGTTTGGATTTACACCAGAAGGTAAATAAGTGTACAATGTAGACATTTTAGTTTTCTTTTAATCCTTACAGACATTAACAAAGCTTATTTATTAGAGAATTACTTGAGTACAAAAATGGAACACTAAATTTTAGCATGGTATTTACGAATAATTACTGTCCGGAAATTGTATTCTTAGGCTTGAATTAGAAACTAATAACTCATAAATTTGATGTTATTTCACTTGGGAATAATAAAAATATACTTTTTATCTAAAGTGCCAGTCAACACAATATTTTAATTGATGGAAAGGTAAGTTAAGACAGATAATTTTTATAAAGCAATATGATAATCATTTTTCAAATGTATTCGGTCTAAGAATGATTATCCGAAGCTATACTGTGCTACAATTACAGATATTGTTTTTTTGGCTTCATCTATCTTATCGACGTATCGGGAATTAGAATTTTATTTCGACGTTACAGAATCTGTTTTGTGAGTAATCCAGGTCATTTGTTATTGTAAAATGATTCTAAAACCTCATCTATGAAAACATTTCCGGATTTTGAAAATGTTAGTATTATTATCATTCTAAATATCGTTTAATTAATGGTTGGCGAATAAACCAGTCTTGTTTGACAGTATTTTGTTTTCCACATCGATAAAGCGGTTTTATTGCATTCCAAAAAGTAAAAGGTAGGAATATGTTGCAATTATGGATAACAGCTGTATCGGTAGCAGGAATTCGTTTTTGGCTCAAATCACGATCATTACAAATCAGTCTTGTTTCAAGTCGTTACAATCGCTAAATTACATTAGGGTTGTTAAATATTTCAAGCTATCAATATGGCGATTTGTGAAGATTGTAGTATTTTCACGACTGAATTCACAAGTTGATCTAAACTAGATCATCCCTGAAAACCTGAAAGCACTAAACGGCCGTTTCGTTCTAGAACGAGACTCCACAGCAGTGCTCATCCAAAATCCTGCACGTGGTCTAGCTTAGATTGACTAGTGAATTCAACTGTGAAAATATTTTAAGGTACTTTATTGATCGTTTAGACATCTAGAACAACTGAATACAGAAACACGAAAATCAAGGTATATAAGCCTCAATCATCATTTCAGCCGGTTTATTGAAAACTTTTATGAGGATGAAAATTTCTGAATAAATGGTGATTTATATTGGAGTGTTAGTGGCTAGATGTTAAGGTGAGCTGTTTGAATGTATAAGACTAAGTCTATATTCTTGAATATTTAAATTACTAACCAAGGTTCAAGTTTCTGCTGTGTATCAACCAATTGTCTAAAAAAATTAAAATTCTGAGTACTATAAGTCAAAAATTATTTCATTCGACAAATACTACCGTTAACAGTAGTTTCCACCGTTCAACTCTAAATGTTTTGATCATAATGTACCTTTCAGCCTAAAGTATACAATAGGATGAATCTGTGTGTTATTTTGTTCTAATCAACCATTGTAGCATAAGTTACCACTATTATAGTGACTACGATATAAAATCCAAATTACATTTTTCGTTACAGAGTTTAAGCATTACTTTAGTAAACTTCAACTAGAAAGTTTACAGATATGGAAAGCTTATTCAACAAGGAAACAGTTCCAACAATCTTTAAATATGATTCAACCACTAGATTCCGCTTGGGAGACATTACCGAAAAATCACATCAATCCAACAATGGATCAATTACTTGATGATATTAACAAAGATAATAATCAGCTTAAAAACACAGCAATACCATTCGATGATCCATACTTATTATATGAAAGTTTATCAGTTTTATTTACTCAAATTGAATATGAAATAAATAAAATGCGGAAATTTTCTCTTGAAAAAGAAATAACCAGTGAGAAACATCAACATAATTCAATTTATAATTCTTTATCAACTCATTCATCATCATCATTATTATCTGCACAACAACGTAGCCGATCATTATCATCAGAATCATCTGTAAACCGAAAGTCATCATTATCAACCAGACAAAGTACACGAACAAGTCAAAAAGGTAAAATTTACCCACAGAATAATCGTTCAATATTTGATTTTATTAAAGTAGAAACTGTTCAAAATATGATATAAATTTAAAACAAACTAAATATCCCGTTTAAAAGTAGAAGTTCATGTATTCATTCTAAATAATGATTAAACTATATCAATTAAAGAATTTCATATAAATAATAAGTAGATTGATAGGGAATTATAATACATAATACTTTCATTTTAAATTCATTTGGTGTTATTTTTACTTATATTTTCCCATTGTTAATTTAGGACTAAAATTGATCAGTTTCATGTTGGTATTATGTGCATCCTGTGCGGATTGCCTCGATATAGCCTAAAGTCCATCTTGGCTTAAAATACTTTCATTTTAATTGTGTAAAATCATATCAAGTTAATTTTTATAATCTTTCAATTGGTTATTTGAGTGAGACTCTAATTTATGGACGACCTTTGAACGAATCTTAAGTGACCTTAGGAAGTAGTAGCCAATTAGAAGACAGTTAGTATGAAGTAAAAATATATTGTAATAAACGAAAGAATTAAAGTGGATATTCTTCTTTTACATGGTTCAAAATTTTATTAAGGTTTGAAAGAGGTTCAGAGGCTTTGAAATCGTAGTGGATACGATATAGGAACTCATCCATATGGCTCCATAATAGTCGACCTCTGGAGCCGTGATAGAGTCTTAAAAACTCATGTAGTCTGGACCACATAGCCTCAATATTATTAGTGTAAACTCCAGTTATAGGGCCGACAAAATGGCGCTTGTGCACAACAAGATGATGCACATGCCCAAGTCTATGTAGGTATTTATCTATCGTAGTGCTCGGCCGCACTTATTCCTGTATAATTGGTATTATTGTGGTTGCTTGTCGGTTTCTAACACTTTGAAAATGTCCCTTTTGCGTTGATGTGACATAAATTCCAAGTACCTGTGAGGCATATTTACGGAAGTGATACTTACCCAGTCTTCCCTAATATTACTTCCTCTTTTATGTTTTTGCTTCCACACTACTGTTTCATCTATTTCACCAAGACTCCCAATTCCTCTGAACGACTCGTGAAAACGTGCACATATATCCCTGCAATACTCATACCATTGGGCAGCTGAAGTCTCACTAACGTCCGCAAACGCTGCAGCCAGTGTTACTAGTGCTTTTTTTTATCCAATTTGCGACAATTATCATGATTTCTCTCAGTCTCAATCGCGATCGAGCGAAGAAAGTACCCGGTCTAGCAGACTTCTTTTTCCAACATAAAGAACATCAAAAGACAATGTCATCACGATAGTCTGAACACGGTACTGCAATAATTTGATTACCACAGTCACAGAGAAAGGAATTTCTTAGTAGTCCGATCTGTTGAAGACACAATAATCACGTCTTCTCTAAAATCCGCTATAAACCAATCGTACGTGAGTATCAGGTACTGAAATTGGCGCCGTGACCTTGAAATCCCTTAAACGCTTCTGATTGGCTCGTTCATGAATTAGAGTGTCGCCCATAAATATTGTTTAAGTATACTGAAAATAATTATATTTACTTACAGTCAATCAAATTTATTTTATTCAAATTATGTATTAAGAAAAAAATATCCAGAAAGTTCGATGAAAAATAACTGAATTAAGATTAAACTAAATGTTTCTATTTTAATGTAAATAGAATATGTATTTTGAAAAAGAAAATTGTTTACAAGGAAAATGAATAAAATGTTTACTTAAAACTTTCTTGACCAAATGAACTTTACAAATGGCATTGATATATTATAACATATTGTTTTGAATAGCCAAGTAATATTAGAATTATTATGTAAATGATTAACCATATACATATAATTTGATGTTTTATATCAACTGGGATAAAGTAATCTATCATTTAATAACTTTTATTTTTGATGATATATTATATTATATCTATGATGTAAGTTTTTATAACAACAAATATATCATTCTTACTATTAACAACACTGATGATCAATTAAAAAAAAAACACAGATAAGAATGTATTATTTGAACTTGATAATAAAAAATAACTGAATAATTAAAGATAGACGATAGCTATTTGTCTAGTTATTAATTTTAAAACTAATATCTATGTTAAAAATGATTGGTGGCTAGTAGTGGAATTCAAGATGCACGTTTTGTATCATTTGGGACTCTTCAACTGGATCTACCTACACCCCAGAGTTGATGTTCATCCCGAGGCTTGAACCTAGTACAGTTTGCTTTATACGCCGCTTGTTATCTATTTAGCCATTGAGTCCTGATAGTTAAATCTATGGGGAATATATAGTGAAAATAAATGCTGTTTAAAAGTATATTAAGCCTTAAGTTTTTTTTAACTAGCTATTTTGTTAATTTTTGACACGCATTCAGAAGAGTGGTATGTGTTCTTTTCACAGTACTTGTAATATTTTAAATGATTATGGTTTTTGAAGTGTTTGATTTAATCCATTAGACAATATATAGTTCACTGACTTAGTTTATACTATGTAGTTATAAAGAAAATCGGTCACAAATAGCAGGATAGAAAAATAAAACAAATCTATATGATAATGATTGAGGCAGAACAATATGGATTTATTATACTTCGTGAATTCTCGTCAGTTGTTCGAAGAATTTGTGATTGGTTGAAGTTAGACATTAACACTGTTGGATACTGGCCAGCTAAGTGGTCTAGATGTTAAGCGTTCGTACGCGAGACCGAAGAGCAGGGGTTCGAATCCCACCAGCAGGATCGTAGATGTGCACTGCCGAGAGGTCCCATAAGAGGACAAAACGGCCGTCCAGTGATTCCAGGTTTCCAATGATGGTCTAACATCATGATCTCAATAAAAAATTTAACAATCTCCACAACCCAATACTGACAGTTAATTATAAAGTGAATGAGTAAAGATTTCCTTTTTTGGAAGCTCTAAAAATCAGTAAATTTTAAGAGTCAGCTTCGTCTCAATTACGGGATTTTAAGTAATCGTCACGTTTTGTTCAAATAGTATTTTATCACTGTAGACTGAATATGTTAATTCAACTAACATATCTTCACCTTCAACTCAGAGCGTATTATTTAGGCCCCATAATGATTAAGCTTTCCAGACAGATATAACTTGGCATCTTACACAAAAAATATTGTATTTCAGCTTTTCGCAAAAACCGGCTGACTGGAAAGCGATTAGCTTGAAAATATCTAGCAAGATTTACATTGAAAAAGATTTATTTCTTAAGGTCCCTCTTATTTTTGACATACTTTTTAATGCTATATCTGTTTAATATTATAAAGTCAAAAACTATAAACGACAAATAAATATCAATCTACTTATCTGACTGATTTTTTATAGGTACTGGATCCCATACTACTCCAACTTCAATAGAATCTGCATCTAGATCTAAATCAGTTAGTAGTAGACGAAGTTTATCGGCAGTTCATTTTGATGTACCTAGTAAAAGCATCACTCATGAAATTAAAGATCAAAAAAGAAAATTTAGTCGATTAACTTTATTTGCTCAAGAATTACAAGAAATATTAAAACAACTTCATATAAACAATCAGATACTGGTTTCATTTGATAAAGAAAAAAATAAAAATAGCTCTGAACACCCGTTTGAAGCGTATAAAGTATCACTGGAGAATTTCGGTACACTTCTAAATAAGGCTAAAAATATCCATCTAAATGAGTGGTCAGTGGAGGAGAAATTAGAACCGAATGTATTATTACAGGTAAAATGCTACATTATTCTATCAATCAAGAATTCGTTTTAAAACCAATTTTAGAATAATTAGTGAAGTGTACCCCTTGTTTTAGGTTTGTGGTTTATATGAAAATCGTACTAATTACATTAGTCTGTTGCTCTTTAAAGTAATCAACACGATGTCATGTATAGATTATTAATTTAAACATTTCAACTGAGTTTCAGCATCAGGATTAAGCAGAGAAAACAAAGCACTTTAAAATGTATTTGATGACTTGGATCAATTATATCTTCATTCAGTTACACAATATTATGGTCGATCCACTAATTACAAGTAATTATCTGATACTTGTATTTTTACTTCACGGAAAAGCGTTGGAAATGAGGACGCTCGACATATATGTTTCGTCGTAGATTAGACCCACTCAACAGTCCCCATCCACGGCCCCACGAGAGGTCGAATCCAAAGCCTTCTGCTTGTCCTCGCTGAAGACGTCTAAATTTGAGACTACAGAATCAGAACAAAATGGTTTACATTTCCAACTTTCATCATTTCATAAGATAACTGCTGAATAACTCAGTGACAACATCATCGACCACATTTTCTGGCTTTAAGATTGCAAATGTGATCCAAATATTAATCATTTTCGGTACAGTGACACTGGCAACAAATGTAAGCAATGTAACAACCGCGTAGGTAATCAAAAAGCAATTGGACTGGCAAGAAGTACGTCAAAAGGCAAGGTAAAAATATTGGCTCCAAGCAAGATAAAACAAACTAGGGCGACAATAACTTATAGGCGACCTTTGAGAGATGCAAAGTGACCTCAAGAATGTCCACCTACTGACTATGACTAAATGCGGGTTAAAAATCAGTGTAAGGAATTAGAATTAGAATTTCCAGTTGATAGTTAGGGTTAGGAATTAGATTTAGGGTTTTCATCATAAATTGACATCAGCTAAAGTCCCAAAACGCTATTACACCAAGTGGATGAATGAATTTCGCGCCAAAATTTAAGTCCTGTTAGCTTATATCTGATTGGTTTGCCCCTAAATTATAGTCACGACAACAAACTTTATTAATCTGAACAATAAATGCTACCAGATACTGTTTTTCGTATTTAAAATACATTGAAATAACAATAACGTCTTTACATACATACAAGTAATTGTTGTTTGGTATCAATACTAGCATAATTCAAAAGTATTTCTGGTTTAAATTTATTAGTGCAATAGTGAAATTAGAATTAGCTGAATATTCAGGTGAAATATCTGTTTTAACAGTAATTATATACTTATAATCAAATAAATGAATCCTTGTCACTTCTTGTATTACTAAATAGGTAATTAGATCAAGTGTTCACATTTAGACATTTGTTTAATCGATAAACATATTGATATTTATCAAGGAAAGTCAAAGAATGATGTAGTCAGATGAATTATTATTAGTCCAGATTAACTACACGTTTAAACTATCAAGATTTAAATATTATTCAGAGGTATTCTAATCTTACATACATTATTTAAAAGTTTCTATTTCATGACTTAATTGATGTACATGAAATTATTACTGATCCATCTACTCTAAATAATCCAATATATATACATAAAGAAAAAAATCTACAAAGCAAAATGAATTCGTTACATTCACTTGGTATTGTTTACTTGAATTTTCCCATTGACGTTTAGGACTGAAATCGATCAGTCTCTCATTGTCATATGTGCATCCTGTGCGTATTGGCTCGATATTGCTTTAATTCACAAGCATTATAGGCAAAGATGGATAGTGGCTTGGAGTGGAATCCAGGGCGCGCGTCTCTTCCTATTTGTGACTCGTCAGTCACTTGTTTGTGCAATCAAGACTCAGTAGCTAAGTGGATAACGCGACGGAGTTTTCAGGCGAACAGTATTGGATTCAAGTCCCAGAGTGGACATCAACTCTGAGATGCGGGTACATCCAGTTGACGAGTCCAAAATAAGACGAAACGCGCGTCCTGACTTCGTTATATTTCGAGGATTCTTGTTGGCTGATCATAATAATAGTGTTGTTGTAAATCTATTTTTATCCATTTTGGCCAGTGAGGCTAAATTTAAAACAGAATAGAAACTTTTTAAAATAAAAAGAAGATACAAAATATTTTACATCGTAGTTAACACTGATGATTATTGATATGTTAACAATAAAACCATATAGGGAAGGGGTTAATTTCATATATAGTGATTAGCAAATGAACTTCAAAATTTAGCAAATGAGTGATTATATTATCAACCAAAAGATGTTATATAAATTAAGATCACAAGTTGATATCAATGAAATGCTTAAAATAATAAATAAAATAAAAACTTTTATTATAAACATACTTATATCACTGTAACTAATTTACCATGGTAATAAGGTGTTTATCACACTTTCTCTTTTTGGGCGTAGAGGTCAGATTATAAGTGTATGATAATAATCACCTAACTAGATCTGAGTAAAAGTGTCATTAACTACTTTCTAGCTATTTTAAATGCTGTCACAGTTACTAACTTATATCCACAAAACATTTAGTCCAATATTTTATAAAAATTTCGGTTGATGAAAAGTTTTGTTTCCATTCATAAGTGATGAAATATAAAAATCCAAAAGTGATTTTCATTAAATTACTTAATTTGTTTTATTATCCTACAGTTATGTTCAATTATATGATTGCTCGTAGATTTTTTGTGAATATTTATTTTAGAGATTACATTCACTAAATTATGAAAATCCTTATTTGGATGTTTATAAACGTTTGTATGATGATAGTTTGTTTATTATATCACATCATCCATTTGATCGGACTATTCGTTCAAATCATTACACGTGGTGTAGTTGGTTTCATGTGAATAAAATAGGTTTTAGACCATATCTACAATTGATTGAAGGACATATTCGAAATTGGACAAGAGAACAAGAGGCAATTTATGAAGCAGCTAAATTAAGCGCTGAAATATTACAAACTGATGATATTGTAAGTTTATACATTATTCAGTTTAGTATATACTCACATGTATGTTATTGATTGAAATATATTTTTTATTATGGATAATTTAATGAATAATAAATTACAAACAGTACGATATCATAAATATTTCTATGGAAAAATTAATATCTAATATTTAGTAACGGAAAGAAACTGGTTATAAGCAAATGACAAAATTTGAACTTACTTTATATCTTTTTTTCTAAAACAATCCATTGATTTAGTTCATATTATGTTTATGTTTTTCTTTGTAAAATGAATTATAAATCTGTACAGAATGGTTCATCAACTGAACAATCTCCTACAAAACCAATTAAGAAAAATTCTCCTAAATCTCAAAAAGGTGCAAAATCTAAACGTAATCGTTCAATCAGTGGATCAGAGTCAGAAGAAAGTATAGTACAAAATGAAATAAAGTCATTATTAGGCGATCCAAATGAATTTATTTTACCTGGATCATTGAAAGCTGCACAGAGAGATCAGGTAGACATTTTCATTTCTGTTTCATTTACCATATTTTATTTCATTACTTTTATTCACAATGATCAGTTGGATTTCTTTACAATTTTAATGCGTCAGTTGTATTGTTAATTTCATTTTATATGTACTTTTATGAACTGTACTAGTCTCTGTCATGAGTATAGGTTCAGTATATTTTTAGAGTCAAGTAAATTAGGTCATTGTAAACGATAAAGAAATACATTTATGATAAGGGAATATTTATTTACTTATTAACTATTTTAAAACAGATCAATTAAAAAAGGTCTAAATCCACTACATGACATTACCACAGATGCCTTAGAAATATTGCTGGCGTCTGCTGGGATCACCAGGTAAGTAATAGTGAGGTTAGACGCAAGGTATTAGGGAAGGATGGTAAATTAGTTGTTGAGGGTGTGAATCTTCATCGACTGAGATGGTTGGGCTACGTGTTACGTATGCCTGAACACCGATTACCACGACGTGCAATGATAACCGGTGTTGGAGATGGTTGGAAGAAAGTAAGGGGTGGCCAAACCAAAACGTGGCATCAGTGCTTGAAGTCACTAACTTCTAGTCTGAGCCATGTTGGTAGATGCAGACTACTTGGTTGGGGTCTGCGTGACTATCGTAACCAATGGTTGGAAATTCTTGGTGACAAGGCTCGGAATCGATCACAATGGCGTAGGTGTATACACTCTCTGTCTTCCCTTAAACTGCGAGATTAAAATCACTTCATATCTTTCTTTCTACTAACTAATTATTTCTTCCTGTACTATATCCTTATTGTAATCTTTCTTTTATATATTACCACCTCCGAATTAACTACTTTTATGAATCCGGTGTCCATCTTGTTGTGTTAATGAGGTATGGCAACTTGGACCGATGCATAAATGTGCGTGGTCCTACGTTGTAGCTGACTGACTGACTGATTAAAAATCAGCAAAAATATATGAGGATTATTTTCTAAAGTGGTCTGAAATAGGTTGAATAAAATATTAGGGTAAAGAATGTGTTCGAGCCGTACAACATATCATGACGAAGCATCAAATGGTATAGGTGTTTGGCTGAATATCTCTAGCTATTTCAGCCCTCTGAGGCAAAAGAAATTAATACTTAGCTTGTTTTGAATGAAGTACTGATTTTAAGTATTATTTTGCTGTTATAGATGACAGTTTCCTGTTTTTAAGTTCGTGCAAGATTGTTAACAACTTGTGTGGGCATTCTTAGTTCACATATGATACAAGTGAGTTCATTCTAACATTTTCTACAAAATATGTGCTAGATCATAATGTTGGATCAGGTTTCTTTTGATTATGAGAAATATTTTGAAAACTCGAAAACAAATGTTTGAAATATCTTAACCATATCACATATTGTCGATATCTATTCACAAAATCAGAAGTCAATGAAGCTGAATCGTTGAATTAATTACTAAGATAATTAGCCTTCATAGAATGTACTGAGCTACTCAACTTCACAGATTAGTTTCACTCATAGATGGTAGTAAGTAGTCTAGATATGGTGATATCAGTAAATAATATAGATACATAAATTTCTTGGTTACTGTTCGAACTAGTGATAATTGCAAAAATAAAACACCAATGGATTGTTAAAGTGCTTAAATGTTACATATTTTAATAAAATCTATGTGACTTCTATTTTTTCGAAATTTTACCATACAATTGTTTTTTCGTCACCAAAGTGGCTGTTTATATATATTTGTATCCATATGCATCAAACTCATTCATATAAAGTATTCATTACTCTTTTATGTCAAGGAACGGGCTAAATTGAAAAAAGATTTGGAAGAACGTCAAAAAGAAACTAAACGTGTCAAGTCAGCCAAAAAGTCTACAGAAAGAGAAATTTCTCCTACACAGAAGAGAAAAACTTCTGGTAAGCGCAATAAATCGCCGCATCCCAAGTCACCTGTTCAGAAGAACGATCAAGATGATGAGTCGATCCAACAACAACAGCTCAGAACCAAAAGAACAAGTAATGAATTTTGGCCGGTTAGTTAATTTAAAGCAATATCCATTCTGTACATTAGGTAGAAAACGATTGACATCAAAATTATAGTTAATAATAAACATTTTCGTTTCATCCAAAAAACCTGAGATAGTTTGTTTACGTGTCTGTAAGTGAAACCTAATCTTACAGACTGAACAGCAGTAAAATAAGAACATATATCAGCTGTCCTACCTTTTCAAAACATGTCTGTTTTTATAAACATTGTTTTGGATACTAGATATTTCATTATCAGATCAAAGCTAAAATGGTTAAAAATTTTATTCGATTTCCAGGTAATACGTTCAACAGGAGGTATAAGATTCGAGATGTTAGAATTTATGATTTATTCAGTAACGATTATTACCAAATGTTATGTAGAGGAGAAATATAAGCACTAGGTATGATGTATTAGATTCATAGGTTATTTGTGCAAACTCAAAAATCCTGCTTTTGTTACCATAATTTTAAAATGGTCAGAGTCACTCAAACCACTATTGTTTTCTTTTCCACATGTTAACTTTTACCACTGCTCCATATATATAGTACTGAAGTTCGCATTTCCGTAACTATCAGTACAAATTCAAAGAAAATTTTCGTATGTTTTTCTCACCAAACATCCTGTGCCTCTTTGTGACTTATTGATTTTTAATGTTCCTATTATCAACCTTTTCATCCTAGCAGAATATGCTACAGTTTTACACACATGTAGTAGTGTTTCTAGTTTTCTGAAACCGCTTTTCAAGCAAGATGCACAAAACTTTTAAGGTCCATACTAAGTGGTTTATCAGTTAATAGGTTTTGCTATCTATGTGGCCACAGTTTATATCTAAGACTTCTCACGGATTTTGATAATTTTTCCGCGGTCACAAAGTGGTAAATGTCAGTAACCTCTGAAAGAATGAGTTCAGCACTTCTGTAAAGCAGAAGTAAGCGTTTGTAGTCTAAACTTCGAAAGATAATAATCCTGGCTGAAATGATAAGCACGATCCTTTCTGAACAACTTCAGTCATAAACTATTTCAGTTTTTAAAGGTTGAAAACTCCACAAGTGGAAAAGTTAAGTAAACCAGTCTTTAGATTAGTTTATAGGATTAAAGCATTTAAATAGTGCTTGACTAAAACTTTAGAAAATCAGACTCCTCAAAACTAGATACATTTTATGCTTAGTGACAAACAAATAGACTAGACTATTATTCAGTGACATTTTTTGGATGGAATAATACGTACTGTAGCCTGAACTCTTGGACTAGAGGTTATATCTTAGCACTTTATGTCAACAGACGCTGTAACAATTCATCATTTAAAGGTCTGCCGAAAATGCCCATTATCATACTGTGAACTGGAACACTAAAGATATGTAGAGCTAACAGTGAGCTGTCATATAAACTAGACCCTTTGAGCGCCTTCAATAAGAATGTTGGTTAAAAATGGGAGATTTCACATATCAATCTGCAATATCAATTCATAATTATCAAGAAGTTTCTGAAATTAGAAGCTCCACACTGAATACAAATATTTGGCGATTCCTTTCTTTAAGACATTGTTGGTATGTGGCTGAAGGGTCACTTATGCAATAATGCAGTATGGTTAGTTAACAGAACTGTTTTATATAAATGAAAAACAATTTCAGTACCCTCCTAATCCATTCCTAACTATCACCTTTTACAGTATTTTATATTGTTGACTGTGTGAGTTGTGAAACAAGAGTGAGTGAAGAGATCAAGCCATAGATGTTTTGCCACAACAGGTATTGTCTATATGTTCACAGTTTATTTTTCTTCAAGAGTTTAAGAAAGCCGTCATTAATTAACGAAAATCCTACTCGATTACCTCGAAAGAGTGTTGTTGGTTAAAAGTTTTAAAATGTCAAAAATTCTAACGCATCAATGAACAACAGCAACAGGTGGAAAAGATTGCTGTTAATTTAGTTAATATATCTTGTTTTTTGAATGGCCGATAAAAATTTAGTCATTCGTTATTATATATTTCGGCTACAGTTTACCGGTTACGATATTTCCAACTTGCTACCACATATAACTGGGGAAGTTACTCATATGTTCCCAACTGATGGGGGTACAATTAAAACACAGAGAAATGAAATTCCAACAGGTAAGAAAATGAGTTGCATGTCTGCTTAATGCCATCGATTGATTATTTCAGGCTTTAAATAAATAATTATAACTGGGATACTCATATGGAATTTTCTGTAGTGCTTTTATTTGTTTATTGATTATTTCAGTGTAACAAAATGACTTTTTAGATAAATAAAACTTCATGTATATTATAACGTAGAAACATTCAGGATAACAGAGCATTACGTAACCAAACCTATAATCTGGTTTTATAGTTTGATTTGATAGTTATTGATAAAATTTCAAAGATTCACAGACCGCAAAACCTTACAAGGTTACTGATAAAAACTGCATCACTGTGTACTCAATACTTCTAATTTTACTGTAAATCATTTTTTCTATTCGCTTCTATTGTCTAAGTCAAGCTAACATTAGATTATCTTAACTATTGAGTATGCAAACATTTGTGATCCCATTCATATAATCACCGATACTTTTACTACTACTACTACTACTACTACTACTACTACTAATAATAATAATAATAATAATAATAATAATAATAATAACAATAACAATAATAATAACGATTGTTCATAGAGTTGAATTCTACCATTTTCGACACTTTGTTTGTTTAGAAAAACTTAAAATCAAAAGTCTATGTTGAAAAGTAATATTGAATTGTTGTTAAATTTTTCTATCAATCATATCAGCATGTGATATTCCGAGCTTGGAAAATTGTGTTTTGTTTTTATATATATCAAATGACTGAAAGTGACTAGTTTTTAGCAGTCTATCATCAGTAACTACTTCCCACGTACGACTGAGGGTGGGAAGAGTCAAGTCTCTCTTTCGAAATGGTCTCATATAATCACGTGTATGTAGCCACTACCAGACAAATCTAACTCACTACACCCTCGCGTTGTGGATGTTTTTTGGGAAACTGAGATGACAAAAAGTGAATGTCCGGTGTTTTAACCGGGTTGGTGGGTACGGTACATCCACATAAGAGAATTAGAAAACCCTGATTTCAAAACAATGTTGCAGAATCCTGAGGGAACAAATGGCGTATTAGTCTAATGCTAATCACCTGCTACTATGGGACCTCATTTCACAACGTTGCTCCACTGAACTGTAAATCAGTCCTCTAGGTTAAATATTCGGGGAGTGCTCTCTTAAGAAAACCACATTCTTCTGTTTTGGCACCTGGGTATTATCCTACCCTACACACAACCCAAACGTTGACAACAACTAGCAAAAATGTCCACTTGTTAATTCTCATACTCGCAAATCATACTTACAACTATGTGTTAGTAGCCGTTTTTTTACATAGTATCACGTATCTACCCTTTCATTCCCGTTTTGTATATCCATCTATTTTTTACCTTCTACAGTATCATACCTATGGTAGAAATCCTGTCCTATAAAATCAATCTGAAGTCACTAACTAGTTGAAAGTTGAATGCTACCACTGAATACGAATTCTGAACCAGCCTTTCTGAAACCAGGCATCTCATTCAAACAGGCTTCCTCCAACGTTGGTACACTAATACAGACCGGACAACAGATAGGGTTAGCAATATCGTTAGAAAGTCTTGATATTAGTATCTGTTGCCTGTCTGAGACCCGTATTCAAGGCTCTAGTAAAGTACTAAAAATTCGCTCTCCATCTGTTGCCCGAAGAAACTTGTTTCACGTGCGTTTATCCGGGGACCCAGTGACAAATCTGGTTTTGCCGGCGTTGATGTCACTATAAGAATTAGAGCTGATCAGATTCTCATCTATATGTTGTCAGACTAGAAATCTCCACCAAATTGAGAGGGACTCGATATGAGAAACAACGACTTTTCGTCATATCTATATACGCCACGTCAGATTGTAGCCTGGATGCGATCAAGGACGAGTTCTACCATCACTTAACTAACCTTCAGGAAGTGCGTTATATAGAGATTGTAGCACTAGCCAGAGACTTTGATACTCAGGTTTGGCGTCAAGGCACATAACAGAGTTGTTTACGTCGTTGATAGGGATTTTTTGGTGGCAGGTTAGATAACAGTGATCGTCTACTGCGACTGTGCGAGAACTACAACCTGTTTCTGACGTGTACTAACTACCGGTACAGTTATCGACAATGTACAGCATGGCGTCCTACCTCTGCATCTTAAACCTGGATTCAGATTGATCACGTTTGAATCAACTGCCGCTGGAATGATTGAGTACAAGACTGCCGCTACCTTTGTGGTACGTATTTGGACTCTGATCGTATCCTCGTCTGCGCTACTAGTATTTTATGCTTCAGTGACCAACAAATTCATCTTCCTAAACGGATCGATGTCATCAAATTGTTTTCAGCTTATCCTGTAACTAAATATCAAACCGAGATAGGTTCAAGACTAGCTATCAATGCATCAAAACTTATAAATAAACATTAGCTGCAACAGTATGACGACATAAGATAGCAAGTGGAATCGCTTAAGACTTGGCGGAAAGGCTGGGTTATGAGCACTTAATCCGTCGAAGATCGATGTCCGTAAGTATTGCATGTGCTTTTCATCTTCCAATTAAAAAGTAATTTTACAAGACTGGCAAGACAAGGAACCTGAACTCACTTTGGGTACTGTTAGAAATGGTCAAGAAGTTCATATATCTGAGGGGCTGCATAAGTTCCAGTGGTAGGGTAAAAGCTAGAGTAGCTTGTGCTAATCTGGGACATTTACGGAACCGTCTAGACGTTGGCCTAGCTAAAAAAGGTTGGTTGGACCGGTTTTGTCTTATGCTTGTGAAACCTGATCTCTCCGAGTTCAGGATGTTAGATGACTCTCTGTGTTTGATTATCGTTGTCTCCAAAGGATCGCTAACATTCAGTGGCAATATCATGTTTGTAATGCAGAGACTCGGCTACGCATGTTTTGACACATTGACGATAATTCAATCGGTTTCACCATCATGATACACCGATTTCGGTGGCTTGAACATGTCTTACGAATGTCGCCCCATATCCTGCACTATTTTCCGACATTGAGATCGGTTGGAAAAAGAAGAGAGTTGGTCTGTGTAATTCATGGTGTCGAGGTGTGAGTGACATGCAGGACTGGTACCTGTTAGTCCTTCACGACTCCCTGGTTGAGTTCGTAGAGATGGTACAAAATAGTGGGTTGAGACATTATCAGACATAGCTCAGAATAAAAGCCAATGGCGATACTGCTGAAACTTTCTTATACTTTCTTCATAAAAGCGAGAGTAATTTCATTAACTGAGAGAATTCTTTTATTATTACTCTTCTTTTATCACATTCACACTCTCTTCCCTATTTCTTCACAACCTTGTGGTTATTGTGTGGCGCATATATATTTTGGTGCCTACTTCTACCAATGTTTCTGTATTCAAGTGAACAATGAACAATAAAATAAATGTTCTTCACAAATGCATCATTTAATCCACGATAACTCTAATCCCATTTGAATAAACAATTTGCACTAAAATCAATCGATTTCACTTTATTAAATCCTCACTTAATCTATTTAAATCTACTTAGGTCAAGCAAATTTACGAGTAAGCCTTATGAAAGATGGCCATGTGTTTACTATTCATAAAATTGATGGTCCACCGGAACCGAATATTCCATATGAAAATCCTAATGAAATGAAATTAAATGATCAAGAAAATGAGGTAAGATTTAATCGCAATTAGATGATATTATTGTTAGAAATGATTATGTAACACGTTTTACAAGATTTAACGTTACATATTACAACATCTTTATTCTTAAAAATACAATAGGAGTTCAACTATTCTTAAATCAAAGAAAATAATGTTGGGCAGTGTTTAGTGGTATAATAATTGCTACTCAAACACCAAATATGAATTTAATCATTTTTAACACTTTCAGGAATAAATCATGAATAACTACTTTGAAATTCAAAATCATATAATCGTCACCTTTTAGTATTTCATCAAACTTATTCTATCACAATGGTCATATAGAAACAAATGCAAAGTTTTTGATTATTGAAATAAAAATTACATAATATTAAGCATGATAAATGCGTTCAAAGATAACAAATAGAAGTATTCAGCAATACAAATGAAGACAATATTGGAGTGTATTTTAAGTGTTGTAATAGAATCCATATGAAATCACCAGCAAAGATTTTTAGCTAAATGAAAATGTTTACATACAAGTACCTATAATTTTCTTGGTTTTGTTTTTGATGAAAAGATGTCTTTCCAGTTCGGCGGTTTCAAACTGATAATGGACAGTGTTTATTAATAATTTACTTTGAGATTAGTGTCATAAATGTTTAGTAAAGATCTTCAGTTAACAGATTTAACCTAATGAAAATTCATATGGAAGACTACCAACCAAATAGCATGATGGTTACATTGGATTCTGAACTAATAATTAAGTTATAACTTTTTTGTTGGGAAACTTGAAAGTTTTCAATTCCCTTACTAAATATTACGAGCAGAGCTCTAAGAAACTGAAAACATTGATCAGATAACTGCTTATTGATCACTTGCCTTTGATAGTTTATCGGCTGATATCGAGCCAAGGCGTACACTGTGTTGAAAAGAGATGTTTGTATCATTTGGAAACTGATGCCGATCGCTCTGTTTCATTATAATTTGAAGTGCATCTGCACGAAAAATTGGGTCGAAACTTTAAAGTCACTATTAAATTGCTGATAATCATCAATCAATAATGTGACAAGGTTTCACTTTGTGTAATATAGATTTCAATAGTTGAATTCATGAGTCGATCAAAGTTAAATCATCATTGAAAACCTGGAAGCACTGGACGGTCGTGTCGTCCTAGTTTAGGACGTCTTAGCAGTGCGCATCCACGACTTGTGTCGGATAGAGACAGGTATCTACGTCAGACAATGAATGGTTGCGCAAGATCATGGATCGATTGAAGTTAGACAATATCACCGTTGGATACTGGCTCCGTGGTCAATAGGTTAAACATTCACATACGAGACCGAAGGTCCTGGGCTCGAGTCCTGCGTGCGAGATCGTGGATGCGCACTCCTGAAAAGTCACATAATAAGAAGAAACGGCCGTCTAATGTTTCCAGGTTTCCAATTGTGGTCCAACTCAGATCGACTAATGAGTTCAACTATTGAATAACTATAATCTCCACAAACTCCCATTCTGATAATAATATAGATTTGTTTATATCATAAAGTAAACTCTCAGTATCATGTTAAATTAAGTGTAAAATTTTGTGATTTTGTACAGGAGGGATGTGATGGCTTAAAAACGTTTTCATCACCAGAATTATTCAGTTCGATTACAGCTTGTTTTTCTGATGGCATCTGTTTGGCTGTGTCTAGAGTGAACAAAATTGATCCAGTAAGTAATATTTTCTCAATTATTTTACACATTTCATTTAGTTTATCTGATACTTCATACATTCACTTAAAAGTAGAGTTTCATAGATCATCAGTATTATTGTGGTGTATGAGAACACAAGTGCTGGACAACTAGATTACAGAATCTCTTACTAAAATCTGAGAACCATACGGTAATACTTCATTTGCAAAGTATCCAAAAGTTGTCTCAGACTTTTTTATATCTTCATTTTACTACCAATTACTCTATGTTCTCGTTCTCTTCTTTTCGATTTCCTCAACCTTCTGCTGCCAGGTTACCCCCTTTTGATTGGTGGTACATACTGTCAACATCAGTAGCACACATCAAAATATATCTTTATTCAAACTTACTGATGAGAAACATTTCTGAAATTCATATTAATTACATCACTTTCAATAGTTTACTAAATGTTTTAGGCTGTAATAGCCAGTGTTTGTGTTTTTTCATGGTTAGAATTCTATAATTTGAAAAATATGAACTTCGTTTTGAATTTCAACATATCAGTGTAAAAACAACTTTTGTCCTCACGAAAAATGGAAAGAAAATTCACGATGTATTAAATGTAATGAAATGTTTTTGAAATTTTCATATATTCTGACCAGTAAATATGATACTACTGTCATCAGTAAATCTCAAATTATTAAACTTTGGATATCTAAATTCTGTGGTTATTAGTACATATACTTGTCTTAAATAGTATATGATTAAATAAATAATTGAGAATTTCTGTGTTATTCAAAGCTTATTCAAGTTTGTATGCTTTCTTAAATTGAGATCTAACGATGGATTAGTTCATTTTGATAAAAAAAATAGCTAGTAATAAATATTGAATACGATACATCAAGAACTTAACTTCATTACATTTTTACATATTGAAAACTAATTGATAAAATGTTCTCAGTAATCCAAACCAGATTAAAGGAAATCAATAATTAATTAGTTAAAACTCCCATTCCTTCTCTTTTTCATATATTATGCAACGAAGTAACTTCTTGATTTTCGAATAATTACTTTGATCATTATTAATTTTCATTCTTCCAATTACTCAATGTTAATTGATAATCAAAATGTAATTATGTAATTATTACGTATATATTAGTGTAGAGCCATAATGAAGAAATAATTGAAAAGAAATTTCTTTGCTTTATTCATTCCTTCTTTAATTAATTAGTTCTTTGATAATATATTGATCGATCAACTGCTTGACAAACTTTCCGAGCTTATTTTTGCATTGAATGTTATGACGTGTATGGAAGTATAAGGGTGAAAAGATTACTTAACGACTCAAACAGATCGGTATCTGATACTTACAGAAGTAACCAATTTACTACAGGTTTATCAGATCCCTTCATTTAAACTGAATCTCAAGGTCAGAAAATTCATATATGTATTAGGCTTGAACTACTTATATAAATCACCGATTAGCCATTGAATAAAGTGTAACCTGTCTGATTATTATTTTTATCCAAACCTTATGCTATATGAAATAAAATGTAAATTTGGTGTTATATTTTGACCGTGATGTAATCAACTCACAATTCTCTTCCAATAAATTACTTTTTCTCATGCCCATCCCAAATATTATATTATTATCGTCTTAGATAAGTATTAGTTATCCTTACCTCTATAACGATATGTTTACTCTGAATTCTAACTTGCCCAGATAAACAATCATACTTGACTAGCTGTTAAACAATCTTAGGTAAGGCAGTGTATTTCCTCTAAAATCTTAAACATTCAACATTTATATCTACCCCCCACATGAGAAGTAAAAGAAATAAGTAACGTGTTATAGAACATAATGCTTTAAATTACTGTCACTCGGAAATCCTATGATGAAGTATCTGCGGACTGATTTGAAATATACAAATGTTTCCAAGGTCATCAATGCTTTGTTAAATAACACATGATGGATGTCAATTATTATTTATTATTTATTTGAACACATAAATATTGGTACAAATCGGCACCGAATACATAAGCGCTACACAACTCACTAGATTTGTATATGGGCTGAGATACTGTCCGGCTGCCCAGACCGAGGCAGGAGGTTTTCTTAGGGGGCCACACTCATGGCCTTCGACCTAAATGTCTGGTCCACAAGGCAGTGGAGCAACGTAAGGAGATGCAGTCTTATAAAAGTCGGTGACCAACGATTGGTTCATGTGCGATTTGTTCCTTCAGGATCCTGAAGCCTGTAGTGTCGGTTATCATGTTAAGCACATATACCTTATTCTAGCTTTCGGACAGCCCATTCTATTCATTCTACTTGAGTCACATTTTGACCTTGTTATTTATTCGCTTATAAATCTTGACTGTTTTTATATGAGCGCGTAGGTGAGTGTACATTTCTTATCAAATGTCTGTAACTTATTTTTGTGTAACTATAAATATCAATTAACGCTTGGTTAAAGGGGAGTCGGCTTACCAGCCATCTCCACTCTGCGTTGTTTCTCTTCTCTCTATGCCATTCGCTCTATATACGAAATATATGTATTCAAAAGTTCATTCTCGTTATTTGACTTATGTAATTCCGTTATTGACTAACGTGATTTAAGTCGATGATTATATACGAGGATAGGCAACATATATATTTCAACAACAATCATTCATACAATCGAATTAAAGTCAGAACTCGGGTCACTAAAGTGGAGAGCCCTTTCGACAACATCGTTTGATCTAAATGATGAAAAAATTAAGGGCCCCACTAAAAGCCCATGTACACCACTGGCTTGGAACTAGGGTTTTCCAACTTCATTAGGTGGACCCTCCGTGTCCACTAAACTGGTTGAAGGGCTGGACATTCGCATTTCGTCCTCTCAATTTCGTAAACAACATCCCCGCCGTGAAGAAGCAGTGAGTAGGACTTCAATCGTAGTGTCCGCATGGGCATGGCCATGTGAGAGCCTTTCGACAGGGAGAGCTCAATCTCCCCACCCTAGGCTACACCAGGGCATTTGAGGGTAATATCTTTTAATACTAGCTAAGTCGTGATCCGCTGGTGAATTAACTATTATAGATACTGTTCATAAATTTCATGCTTATTGATAAGAAATTCCAAAGATATTTGTATTCCTACCGTAATCAATATCGAGAACGCTTGGGATAAAATATCCGAATGTCGCTCTGAAATGTGAAGTTTTATTTTTAAATAAATTGTGGTGAACGAGAACACAAGAGGGGACAATCGAATACATTTGAACACAAAATTACAGAACGCCCTAGTAAGATCTGAGATCCATACAGTAAATACTTCATCTGCAGTGTTCATTAATAATCTCAGACTTCATTGTTCCTGCATTTCCATACCAATTGCGTTCTGTTCCCGTTCTTTCCTCCTCGACTTTCTGCTGCCAGACATTCTCTTCCTGACTAACGTTATACACTACTTATGTTAACATAAATAGCACACACCACAGTGCCATTAAATGTAACATAAGGCTAAATGAATCTATGTAAGCATATCTAAAGCTTATTTTTTGAAATCGTTTTTATATCTCGAAGACCACTAGTTGTAAGATTTGTCTTCTTTTATAGCAACCTAATCCGAATTATCAAATAGAATCTAATCAACTGAATAAATTTAACAAAAATAGTGATAGTAATAATAACAATGACTGCCGAATCAGGCCAAATTCTGTCAATTTGAATGATAACAGTGAAACTACACAAAATAAACCATTTCAACATTTCATACATCTCTCCACACCTGACGGTGCACAAGTAGCTGTTTATCATTGTGTCAGTAAGTCAACTTGTGCTAGTTTTGTCGTCAATACATTGTTATTTACATTCTGAATAGTGTACTAGGCATAATATCGAGAACATTTTTCACAAGAAGTTCAATAATGCATGAAGAAAGGCGAAATATGAACACACAGCACCAATATTGTTTAAAGTATGATTAGTATGAACTGTAGGTCATTTATAATCAGTGTATCGTATAAAGTCGTGTAACAAGCAGTCATATTCACAATGTATTTATGAATTCAGCACGTTTTCCTGAAATGTGAAATTGATAAATTCAAGAAAAAATATCACATTCAAGTTTAAACCGTGTAAATTGACGTGCTTTGTATGACTAAACTACAATTCATACCTACAGTAGGAAGATATTACTCATCTACAGTCTTAAAAGAACTGATTCTCTCCATGGGATTTGAACGTTATCAGTGAGATTTCGAGGCTACGACTGACCTTTGGTAGGGGTGATATATCTGTAGTTACTACCATGTAGTATCCAATATCATGTTTGTCCATTCCCTGGTGATGATCGAATCATCTCACTTAATGAAGCGCGTTAGCGTAAATTAGAATCCTTCAGGGAACATCGTTTCCTTCAATATTGTATGTATACCTTTTTAGTAAGGGCTAACTAACAAGAAGCCTAAGTCTAGGGTTTTCTGCCAACGGTACCCAACCATCTAACATTAAAACATAGTATACGCGACGTAAAATCACCTAGACTAGTAGCAACATTGCAATTTGAATAAAACTAAGGACTAGACTAACATGGTATCGATTACTACTAATTGATCAAACATTACAAAAATACAAATTTACCAGACAAATTGGTGTCTTCCTTCCAAGTTGTTTCGTTTTAAAATAAAGTGGAAATTTTGAACCATTATTGTTGTATTAAAACTGACTAGCAGTAAATCTAAAATTTGTATAGGTTTCATATAATCAACCAAACACAAATATTTTCGAAATCATGAAGTAGATGTAGTTAACATTTGTTTTACGCCACTGATAGTTATTCGGATTTGATGAAATTCACATGTTCACCTATTACTTTTCTACTGTAATACGGTATCAGTTGGTAAGTAAACTATTTGAATGCATTACAGAATGTGATGTTAAACTATTGATAAGCCGAATAATTTATCCATGTATAGATCAAATATGCTAGTAGAATATAAATACGAAAACACTATAAAGACATGTTAATTGTTTTATAGAGGTAGTGTATTAAAATGCTTAAATGTCGATCCAATATTAAATAACATGCCAATTCACATTATAAAACTAGAAGTTTTGAAACCTCACCATTTTAATACTTAAAAGATTATAATCATTTTAATAGAATATTTAAGTAAAGATGAAAAGTAGCTGGTCATAAGATCTAGGAAGGGTGTTTGCTCATATTTGGAACTCGTCAGTTGAATTCCACCGCTAGCTGTCATCCATTATGTACATATACCAAAAAGAGAGTGATAAGAATTCAATGAGAAGATTCATACTTAATTTTAACGAATATTTTAGTGATATTTAATTAGCTTGAATTTATCATTCTGATAACTTATCAAATATATGTCAATGACATGGAAAATGATAACTTTCAGTCATTCGATAGAGTTGTCTAAATGATTGTAGATAATCGAAAGATTTTCCACGTAATCTTCTCTTCCATATAATGTTTTGTCTTCTCAAACTACATCCGCAACCGTTATTCAATTTAAATTACTACTAACAAGTAAAATTTTGAACAACATTGATTTACTTTTGTGCGATTATAAAAGTTTCTTAATGACAATTTGCTATCCACTTTCAGTCCTAGTTAGGATTTATCAATCAATGTTTTGAAGACATTTATGTAGTTTAAAAACTATTGATGAATAGCGTGTGTATACAAACGTTTATAAATATCGAAATATTATGTATCTTCGAGATAAAATAATAATGTTTCACGCATTTGTTTATTCAGAAAATATTCACCTTTTCTTTAACATGACGTAGTCTAAATGTCATACTTTTATTCATGATAATAAGAAAATCATTTGCACATAGCTAGTCAATTATGAAATTAGATTGGGTGTACCTATATATTGAATATCTTCGTTTTATGTTAGTTTGATGGGAGCTGAAAGCAAGTGAAAAGCGAATTCAAATATTATATTCTGACATTAAAGTAGTAGTAATGTAATAGGACGGTTAGAAGGGTCAATGTGAAGGTTTAAATATTGATCAAATACTATATAGCCTTTGACTTTGTTTGGATACACAACTGAATTCGTTTCCTAAATACTGTCGAACAGCAGTTATTTTCAAAATAGTTTCACTTGATGTAACATTATATTACTTTAGATGAAGTTTCAAATCGTGCCATTGATGAGTGTGCAGAAGAAAATATCCCTTCAAAAGAAGCATTAATTAATCCAGAAAGTAAATGTCAAACAAACGATGGGCAAAATAATGCACTTTTAAACTCACAACATAGTATATTATTGAAGTTATCGTCAGCCAGAACTTGTATCAATGATAGTATCAACATCGATGACCTGAAAAAAAGGTCTGATAAAGAATACGAAGTTACACGATTTATCACATCCGACGGTATAGTGATACAAATTTTAATGCCCAGTTGCACATCATCTGCCTCATGCGCTATCAGGGTCAGTGGAAATTATTTTCTATTTTATAAATTTATATGACCATAATGTATTATAGCAACGCATTTTAAGCATTATTTGTATAGATATGAGATTTTAAGGATTTAACCAGTGCCATGTAGTGCCACAAAATATCTAATATCTATGTGTCTCTTATAGTGTGGAAATTGCAGTTAGAGTGAGCTGAATTAAAGGTTGCAAATATTCACCATTTAATGTCTTCATTGAAATGGAATACTATTTAGTCATAATAAAGTTGAAACACTGTCATCCTAGTACTACTAATTGTTCAGAAATACGTCATATCAGCAGTCAAATACACATGAAGCTGACCTTAAACATCTCTGAGTTATCTAAAAAGGCTATCCAGTCTTACAATTGGTACAATGAACTGATCGTATTTAATCAAACTAACTGTATCAAAATTATTACTCTGGTACAGTCAAGCATTTCCCTGTAACCGTCGACTCGGATACATGGAAAAGAATTTTATAGTTTTATTGTCAGTTTAAACCATATTAGGATTATTTTGATCTGTTTTTACAAATAAATTATTATTGTGTATATTAGCTCAGGATTTACAAAGCAACTAAAAATAACTATAGATTTAGCTTAATCTAAATCCGGCATTACCAGACCCTACTCATCCATAATATTTCAGACATTTTATGTAATCATAATTCTTTAAATTCATTTGAGACGACTTGGTCAGATTAAAATAAATCTGCACAACGAGAAGTTAGATGTTAAAAAAGAGATTTACTTCTTAGTTTATCGCCTTGCCTAAAACCAAACAAGTAATGATCTCTGAACGAAACAGTTATGAAATTCTAATATCCTAATGTATATTTCTATGAGAGTTATAATGAAGTAATATGTTCCTGTTATTATGACTATTCCTTGATTACGTGTAGTATGTTGTTCTATGGACAGACTAGTTTCTTTTAAATTCATGGTTCCAGTTTGTATTGTAACAAAGCAACATTTAATATCAAGTACCTAAATTATTTGTATTTCTATTTTGTTTACAAATTATTTGAATATCATTGTTTATCAAAAGTTTTTTCAATACACATTATGTGTATTCATGATTTGTTAACGGTCATCATTTTTAAAACATGAACTAAAATTGTAGATTCTTTATCCTGACGGAGCAATTATGGAGCGTGGAACAACAGTTGCCGAAGAATTAAGGAGAAACGAAAATCCGCAATTTACATTGAGTAATCCACAAGAAGAAAAAGAAGAAGAAATTAATATTCAGTCGGAACCAGCAATGCCAAGTGCACTCCAAGTAATTAATATACAACCAAGAAAATCATCATCTAAGAGGAAAAGTTCCAGGAGAAAAATTGAAGAGAAAAAAAGTAAATTATTCAATTTTATTTAAGCGTCTTTGTTATTAACAGTAAATATTTTAAAAATAAATTATTTCTCTAGTTTTATTATTGGCAAAGCGAAGGCAGCATTCCTATAGTTGAAAAACATATGGAACTCAAAACAGCTTTCAACCAATATCAAAGTCAGATTCTTCAACACGAACGTAAAAATAGTCCTACTTTACTGAGCTGAAACGTAGAGAACTATCACAACCATCATCAAGAAGGTACAAGTATTCATAGACAGTCCTTTACGCATGATACTTAATATCAGTCGGCCGGAAACCATCAGCAAGAGCCTACTGTAAGGGAGAACAAACCAGCTTCCAGCTGAGGAGGAAATTAGCAAAAGACTCTGGACGTGGATAGGACATAAATTACGGAAACCAGTAAACTGCATCATGAGGCAAGCACTAACTTGGAATTTTGAAGGAATATGGAAAGGAGGAAGGCTGAAGAACATACTGAGTAGGGAATTGGAAGCAGGCATGAAAAGGATGAATAGTTACTAGAAAGAACTGGAAAGGATTACTCAGGGCAGGGTTGGATGGAGAATGCTAATGGGCGGCCTATGCTTCTTCACTAGAGGCTACAGGAATAAGTAAGCGTTACCGATTAAACACTTCAAAATTTAAATCAACCAGGAAAGTGATAATATTGATGCAAGTATTTTACATACTAAAGATGATGTTAATGGTCAAGTTTATTTAATATACAAAGTAAATAAAAACATTTGATAATGATTACGAAATTACCATTGGACCTTTATTATAATTAACTATCGATGACTTGTAGAGGAGTAGAAATCACAGTCATTGTTAACCGTATACTAAACACCTCACTCATTAGAAATAGAGTACTTTTAAATGATTTGTTATTTGCTAACAATATATTTCTTTGACTATTCACACCCTATTTTATTCAAAATTCCGAGAAATCACTTTAAATAGTTAACAGTTAGAACAACAAAGTGTAAAAACGAACGAAATAGTTTAAAAATGATTGACTCAATTCTATGGAGAAGGAATAAGAAACTACACCTAGGAACGATGAAGGAAATGTCATACTTCCGTTGTATGTAATCTTAGGTAATATCTGTCATCAAATTTATAGCTTTTCATGTCTTAAGCTGACAAGCAGTTGATTCATGAACTACTTCATTTTTCCTTGATATTATCATTCTCAGTTTTCAAGTCTAACGTAGCATTTAACATCTTTTTTACTTGCCTAGTAAACCTACTGAGATGAAACAAACACATTAAGTCACTAGGATGTTGACGAATGTGATGAATGATTCATCTGTTTTATACTTTTTACATCCACTATGAAAATTTACATTAGTTCTTAATGAAATTGTAAAAAAGAGAAACAAAAATTCTTGCAGAAATGGCACATGTTTGTTTACACACATTTTGGATTGGACTGATTTATCAATGTCCAACAATTAATGTCATATATGCTGATCAATCTATACTGATCAATTTGTAATGCGGCCAATATTCTACGTGATAATACATTTTGTTTGGAATTATTAGATGAGAGCCAGTCGCTATGAAAATTAAGTACTAGGTAATTTTGAATGAAATCTGACTGAAATTAACAGTCCCATCAAGATTGCAGAAACTCCATGGTAACAGCTGCTAATAATTACAAGCATAGGTTCAGAACTTCTCGCTTTTAACCATAAAACACTCAAAACTATGTAATCACTTTTCTTTGTAGTTTCGAATACATGTCATACACTATCAATAAGTGTCCGATTCAAGTTTATATATATTGTACATACATACTAATAATACCTTCTGTCATTCTACCCGCGAGCACACATAAACAGATAGAAATAATATAGGAAAACAGAATAACAATATATAAATCATTTGAAATAACATCTAAATCTTTTGCACAAAGTTATTTATAGCAAGTGAATTTAACATTATTCGCTTTTGTAAACAAGAACATCTGATAATTGATGACAAATTATTACAAGTTCTTTTTTTATTGTTTTATGCACAAAGTGTTAATGACAGATAACAGGTTCAAACTACAAATTGTGTTTGTAGTAAAGAGTACAAGTTTTAAGGCTATTTATATCAATGAAAGCGGATAACATTCAAAAAAGCATTTTTTTTTCTTGAAAAATTGATGCTGACCCCGTATGTTTTTATTTTTATTTTGAAGACGTTTGTAAACTCTCTTGAAAAATTTATTACTCTACATCAGACTAGATTGATATGGAAAGCCTTGACGATTTTGACTCCATTGAGGCTGTAAAGTTTATCTATCAGTCATATGAAATGAATTGATATCTCGTATGTGATAAGATTCATTTAAGGCTTTTTGAATTGATAAAAAGACTCGGATAATTTTAGAAAGTTAATCGAAAAACAAAATGAATAAATTCAGGTAAAACAACTTTCCGAAGCAATTAGCTTATAGATAGCAGTGAAAATATGTAATTATGACTGAATTCTTTTCAGCCGAAGACGATGCTCGTAATGAGACATGCCTAGTTTCTACTGACATCGCGACCGCTTTGACTCCATCCAGTACACCGAGATCAACAACTAACGATTCAGACGATAATTTACCTTGGTTAATTACCCTTCTGTCTGGCGAGCGGTTTTGGTTCAAGTTAATCAAACCACTTACAAATATCGGTAGTTCAGTTGAAGATACTCCAACAACAAATGCGTCAGATAGTGTATCACATGAGTCAGTGAACTTAGATACTCTAAGTTCTAAACGCTTAAATGATGCAGTGAAATATGAAACATATCCGAGTAAACCAATGGAATCGTTCCGAGCCTATGATCCAGCCACTGGAGAAACATTATATACACGGCCTGAAGACAATTTAATTGCTGTTGAACCTCATCCAGATAGTCCATTCAAGTTGATAGTACAACATGCAGATGGTACACGATTAACGCAAATCTTACTGGTATGTTAATGTTTCATTGTTGAGTAATTGCTTTATTCTATTTTAAAGCTAGCGTAATTATAACATTTTGAATTAAGGTAACTTTTATTAATCAAATAAACACTACCTAAGATAGGCAATATAAGGCATAACATATCAAAACCATGTCACACAATTTAATCAGGTGTTGAAACGTTTACTGTATTTATAATTACTTATATGGTATATACCGAATCGAATATTGAAAGCCTAAAATTAAGTACGATATTATTGATTTTTCTACTTGTTTAATCTACATAGTTCAGGGTTTACTTTTATCAGTGACGTTCCTGAAACTAATTTTAATTTTCGATTCTGATCTTTATTATCGTCATAAACTATGATTAACAGATTGGAAATGTATTGTTTCAATAAGGACGCAGAGAAATAGAGATTTTCAGCCTGATCATCACCAACATTCGATCCCTATGTAACAGTTTATAAATTTCGTATAAATGGACCAACAGAAGCTTCATTAATCAAGCTCTACCATATAAGATTTTTTTTCATATTATGTGTACTCCAGTAATTGTCAAGACCCAATTCTTCCATTTATCATTTTTAAGATTCATATTTGCTATTGTCTTAACAGTGAACAATTTTTCTCCGCATTCATTTCGTATTCATTAATTACATCTAAATTATTCATTTATGTTACATGGTTGAAGTATGATACTTTTACATTCCATGACAAATTATAATTTCACGTAGTCATCATTTAGAAAGGTCTCGTTTATTTTATATACATCATGTTTTAATAGAATATCAATTAATAATAGGAATATTAATAACGGGTGATTGTTTTTTTTTCTTACTTTCATTCCAATTCTAGTGTGACAACTAAACCTGAGTATATCATGAGTTGATCATTTCAAAGTAACTTGTTTTTTCAATCCATAAACTCTACTGTACTGATTCATCATGTCAATTATGTTTTGATTGTTTGTGTGCTATGATTACTGTAAAAAATTCAGTTAGTTGTGGATAGAATAAAAACTAATTGACTTAACTGTAATGATTAATTTATTCATCGGTAGTTAGGCAAACTTTGTATCTGTTTAATGTTATATGATATATCTTTTCACGTAGAATTATTTTTCTATAATTAACGTTTTATTTTATGATTTTATGGTAGTGAACATTACAATCAGAATTTTTACGTTTTTCAATTTATTTAAATGTAACTGTCTTTGTTGGAATCAAAAACATTCTATTTTTCGGAAAGCAGTCATTTCCGCTCAAGATGATTTCAATTTAACAAGTTTAACCAAGTTGAGAAAGGACGTTTATTTCATGAATTAATATCAATCAAAGCGTAATTGTTAATTACGGAAGACTTCATAATATTCTACATCTTTAAATGTACCTCAGTTTATAAAATGAAATGTATGCATATGGACACAATTAACATCCCGTATTCTGACTCAATGATTTTACGGTTATTTGTTCATCTTAATAGTCTAGGGGTGTTTAGGACTATAGAACGTTTCCAGAAGATCTTTTTAATGCTTATCGGTTTTATTTGTTTTAAATATCATTCGTTACGTAAAGGAAAACAGTTTGATTATGTTGTATAGAGTCCATGTGACTGGGAAATAATAACAGGAAATCTGTCATCTATTATTTCACTTATATTGCCATTAGGATCGGTGACCTTTCAATTACCAATTGACATAGTGATCTACTAATAATATCTAGAACTTTAACACTAATTGACTCTTAAGCTTCTCCTAACCCGATGACCGATCAGAGGACGAAGATGAAAAATAGAACAGTTCTCCATTTCACTGGATTTAATCAAGACCGATACAATAATACGCCTGAAATTTCCTACCAAATAGAAAATTACAATGTGTAACTAAATTGATTACAAGTTATACAGGACGAAAGTAATAGGGAAATAATCAGCAAATGACAAATCTCCAATAATAAAACCTATGACATCGATTTATGGATGAAATGAAACTTTAGAAATAGGAGCTTCGTTTAACGGTGTTACAGATGTCTATTTTGTCACTGACTGTTTCCAGATGGACATCGTAGTAAGGTTTTGATATGAAATAATTGCTTGTTACTTTTCATTTCTTACTGTACAGGCAAGTGAGAAGCTGAATGATGAATGCAATTCTGTAGATTTAAATTCAAATGCCAACAAACCTCAAATGTTCATTCGTACAGAGTGTGTCGGATTTCCTGCTGTAATATTAAATAAATCAACCGGCGAGTTTGAAATATCTTTATTTGGTAAAAGTCAGTTTTCATCAACATTTCACTTCACTCCGAAAGGTCATCACATATTACAGGTAAGAAATATTATTAGGCAAATAAAATTTCATCTTCAGAAATAAGGGCCAATCATAGAAATATGTGTACTTATAAATATTAAAGTTGAGTTTATTTGATTAGATAGATCGTCCTGTTATGATGCTACTTAGGGATGTCTAGTTGAAGGGGTTTCTCTTTATATTGAAACTAAATACATGACTTAAATACGTGGTTCCTTTGTATACATGTTGTTTTCAAGTAATTTAGACTTCGTCTTTATGTAATACCATTGCCATTACTTTTATTTTCGGATTACAATTTATTGAGCATTGGAGGATGTTTTAATTCTTGAAAAACAAGAGGGTATAAGCTCTAAACTTCAATTCAAGAGATCAAATTTTCTATTATAGTTCGGATATTAAGCTTGTTGCTAATCTATATAGGTTATTTACACTTAATCACTTTACACTTAATGACTAAATATTGCTAGATGAGTAATAAGTCCTGATAAAACTGTCACTAGACGAAATTTCTATAATAGTTTCTTTTTTAGTAATGATACCAAGTCTTCAGACTTCCTTGATAGCAATCGTCAAAAAACCATCAGTGTTTTGAATATCAAAAATATGGTCACGCTTGTTATAAGTATTCATAATATTGGTGATCAAAGCATATGGGTGAAGATCACTTGTTTCAGGTCCGCATATCGATCGATAGTTAAAGATTTTTCGTGATCCAACTTACAACCAATCATAATGTTATAAATGCATTTGTTTTTTATCTTCCCCTAAATCTTGATCAATAATATTACGTATTCTATTCTTGAACCAGATTCTCTAGTACTTTTAACATTTTAGTACCACAAGTACAGATATTTTAATTCTTTACACATTTATCTTAAAAAATTTACCTCACTGTGATGGAATCTATGATTGCTCTAGTTAATATGTATCGGTCGAATTACCAACTTTGGCAATGGATGATTAACTGATGGAATGAAGCTTATGAACTGGTTTACCAAATTAGATAGTTACATTATTTTTAATATCTAAGTTTATTTTGTATGAAATACATTATGAGATAAATGAAAACATTTATCAGTTGATTCAACAATTCCGTTATACATTTTATGATGATGAGATCAATAAACAAAAATTTGAAAACGGTTTTCACCACAAAATAGCTTCAGTTGATAAATCCATCTGAAAGCCTGTTTTTGATAGGTGAATTGTTAAGTATTCCCAAAGATGATCCGAACACCAATCCGGTACTACCTACTTTTAGGGATTTCAGAGTTGATTACAATTTGGAATTTAAATTTCTGTTTCAAAAAATCCATTAATAAATAACAGTAACTAAGTTCCGTGATTGTTACATGACTTGTACACATGCGAACTTCGTCTTTAATACAGAGATTAAGGAAATCAATTGGTAACTGAGATGAAGTACGGTTTTCGGTTGATAAACGATTAAATAGGCAATCGGACACACGATTTCAAGATTCAAGAGAGAGAATCGTACCGATGGACCCTCTTGCCCGTGATTTGACTTAATTATCCTGGGGACACTTACATATATGTACAAACGGATCTGATAGGATTTTGATCCGGTCAGATAATAAACAGCCTATTTATTCTCTTTCTCCTCGCTCAATGTTATAATTCTCTCTTTTATTACAACACAGCTATTCCTGTTGCTTAGTATTCTCGGACACCAATTCACTCGACAAGTCCCCCAAATCAGAACACAGTTGAACAGGAAAAGAGATTATATTTCAAATAACAAGGTTAGATGAAAGTAAGAGGCACAATAGGGAAAACGTTGGTATATTTATAGTTTTCACATGAGAAGATTTCTAGAGTGTTCACTAAGTATTGACTAACGCTGATTAGATAAGAATTAGCCAATCAGCGTGCGCCAACGCAATCGTGCATTGAAAGATATTTAATCCAATCTATGTCCCGCTAACACTCAAGTAGCAGCTTAAGCTCGAATATGGGAAGCGCGTATATCAGTACCAGAATCCGAAGTCCGTCCAACACAACAACAAAATCATAATAAGGATAATTCTTCATTATTTTACCGTCGGATAATTGCTAGTTTTAATTTACATTGTAGCATTTCAATGGTGGCCAGTTAAATATAAATCCAGACAGTTCAGTATATTACACTAGCCAATCTCTGGAGATAGTCAATCTCAATGAACCAACTGTTTATGAAATGCGATCTAAAGACATGGAAAGTTTGTTGGAGTGCACTGATCCACACAAAAATGTGTACACAGTTGACAACTGGGCAAATTGTAATGTTCTTTTAACTGGTTAGTATTATAAAAATTTAGTAATTCATCTCATAATAATAAGCTAATGTTTTAAAGTAACACAATTAACCGAAACGACATTTAACTCATTCGACCGTAGCAAACTATCCAGATTATAGTGAGGATAAAACCTAGGCAAGATATGTATTTATTTTGTTTAAGAATTGATATTCAAAAATAACTCAATTTAACACATATTTTACTTTCTGCTGAATTATTTGACATAGAATACTAAACTTCATGCCATTAAACTTTACAGCAAATTGTTGTTTCTTAAAATGTGTTGACACATACTCTCTAAATCGGTTCTATACGACAACGTGAGATTTAATGAAATGTTTTGCACTTCATAATTAATGATAATATGTTGCATTACCGATATAGACTTTGTGAAATTGGTGTTAAGTCATAGGACCTATGTAGAAATTAGTGATTCTATCCTGGTCCCCAAACTGAAATAAATCGAGGCGAGTCGTTTATATGATCAGTTGGCTGAATTCCAGTTGTTTCAAAAACTTAAGCTTATTCATTAAATTTAAACCATTAGCTTTTTTCGTGAAGTTTGTCATATGACATATGTTATAAATAATTACCCACTACCATATATTTCTACATTCATTTATCTGAAATGAATAGCGACTTTAATTATTTACTATAGTTATTTATAATTATCTTTAAGATACAATCATAAGAACTACAATGATTATCAAGCGTTATCAATGCATTATCAAGACTTAATTGGTTTAGAGGCAGTCCAATTTCTAACATTAGTTATGTTTAAAAAAAAACTGGGAAAGGCTAAGTCCTTTTTACAATCAAATGGCTATTAAATGGCTAATACTTTTTATTTTAATATTTTCAGTAGGTAATAAAAAACATACTGTTGATGAAGACTTAAATACTGATGTCAATCAAATTTATTCAACTGAATTAACAAATGAAAACAATCAACAAATTGAAGATTCATTTCACACTGTTTTACAGAACAAAGACAATGCTGACAATAATGAAATTAATGAACCTCATAATAATGAAATATCAAATGATGGTTGTTGTTTATATGATGAACACATACCGAGATTATTTTATTTTGATCCAATTAAAAGAATAGCTATTGAACTCATACATCATGAAGAATATAAGTGCTTGCTTCAAAGAGCTCATAATATTCAATCACCTCGTCATCACATAAATAAATTGACAATGGAAGAAAAGTTGATGTATATGAATACGAAAAGTCAAAACACTTCAACATCAGATAGTGATTTTTATGAAGGTTTATACTTAAGAGAACCAATGCAAAATAATCCCAGGGTATTAGTACATTTGTAATTAAACAGTATAGATTTTAAACATTTTTATAGCTATTTGAGGCTATCTAATTTGACGAATTATATTCACAATGAACAGATCTTAAAACCATTACTAATATCTTCTACCTGATCGAATCTGAAGATCGAAAACTAGAACTCGTAGACAAATACCATAGTAAACAATTAGGAATTTTAATTCGATGCTTCCAATCTCGTGTTTCTAACCATAGTCATTTAGTAATGGAATTAAACAAATCGTTTTTAGTTGCATTTTCACAGTAATCATATTGTTCCATATTACGTGTCATTGAGAAATTAGATCTACAATAAATCTTTAGAACTCTCAGCCAGTTGGATCGTGATGACATTTTATGAAATTAAACATGTGAATAAAAGAATAAAACATTATTATCATTAGCTTTATTCAATATTATATTTTTGGTGAAACATAGGATTCTCAGCGCAAAGTATTTCAACAACTTTCCTTTTCTTATTTCTTGATCGATTCTGACAATAAATATTGAGTGATTGTCAGTTATGTGTTAGCAGTTTGAGTATTGACATCTGAATAATGTTCGTTCTTTTCAATGCACACTGCTAGCCATCATGATGCCGCTGATTGTACCTTTCCGTAACCTGTACAGCGAAATGTTGTAAACTTTTCATAAACGCGCCCGAATAGATTGTGCGCTCAATAGAAATAATTATGTGTTAAAACAAATAAAAATACAGATAACTTGTTGAAATATCTAGATGGCAGGAACAGGTAGCCCAGATATTCAAGAAGGCCGCCGACATACTCAAGTATGAATGCTTGTTTCCATCCTGTTATCAACTTTGACTAATTTCAAATATAAGGTAAAAAATTTATTTCTCATGAATAAAATTGATAGATCAAATATCATTACCCTTTAGGTCTTCGGCCTGACGCTGATGAAGTCACTACCCACCAATGAAACAGGAAAATACTACGTTCAAGAAAATATTATTCCTGAGGGTTTGAGCAGTCGGGATTTCCAGACTATAACACATTCATCAAATTCAAACCCGCATTCAGATATTCGAAAATTAGGTGAAAGAGCCGGCAAAGGTCTAGATATCATTATGCCATCTTTGGAATATCTTGGTTTAAAGCTTCCAGAAACAAACGTCACCCTTCTACCGGCACAAAAAGGCAAATCGATAAAACGCGAGAATCATAAATTTAATGCTTATTACCAAGCTCTTCATGCAAATGTAAGACGCTTTACTGAATTCCCATTAATTACATCCGAAATTAATCAAAGGTAAGTCTAATTGTAATCAGTTTACATACATGATATCAAAAGCAGTGCATTATGGCTCCACCCTAGATTATAACCGGTAATTGATTACATGCAAAATAACAAAAAGTTATATATGCTTAGTTTAAAAGCATTATGTTGGATAAATCCTCTCCATATCTTAATGATGAAAATGTCACGCATAGCAGACCAATGAGTGAGATTCCACGTACAGCATTCGTTCGCTTTTATTCAATTTACTTAGTTCCAATTATGGTTTGAACACATATAAGTCATATTAATATAACTAGTTATGTAAATTGTACAACCTGCAATTGCAGCCTGTGCACTGTATCAATTCTCTCAGTGTTGTTCGAATTTTGTTGGTAGTTACTAGGTAATATAAGTGAGTTTGTGGTCATGCGGTTTAACCAAACTATAACAAAGTACCAAGTTAGCAACCTACCACAAAAAATAATCATGCTAAGTAATATTTAATGAAAATCTGGCTTTTTGCAAGTATTAATCTAGTGCTTTCAAGACTATTTGTTTGTCCATCAATTATTTAATATTTTTAAAATAGTCGGACAAAAGAGCATTTCTACATTATGCTAATCTGACTGAATAGCTGTGAATTTCAGGAGGATTTTGCTTGTTTTCATTGTTGAACATTAAACTACTATACAAACATAGTTTTACAATTTTACTTCATCATATGTTATTATTTAATCAGGTTTTTAGGTGTACTATGCGCTTACACAGAATACTACCTCAATCGTTTAAATGAATGGTGCAGTCAACAACCAACAAGATTATCAGAAATTATGCAATCTGAATTAAGATTGTTCTTGGATCCAATACCAACTGTATCAAGTGTATTATCTAGAAATAAGCAGATATCAGATCCAATCGAAAATGAGAATATAACAGATGTATCCAGCTCCCCTAGTCAACAAACCACTGTCAGTCAAGAAATATCTCAACGTAAGCGTGTGTTAAGAATGAAATCTTGAATTATTTTGTGGACTGTGATTTAATCAGTAGTTACGAGTAACTAAATATTCCCTCTGACCGCTGACAAATGAATTTTACTTTAATTCTAGACATGTTAAATTTTTTGTTATTCGAATCTATATTCCTAAAGTTTATTCACTAACCAACAGGTCCTGGCTTGTACGAGTTATATAAAACTAGCAATATCAACGCTGAACAGTAAGCATTTGCGTGAAGGGGACTAAACGGTAACTGAACTTTAATACTCCTACGACACTGTTACTAAGCTTCTTTTAAAGTATTTAAAGTGAAACATTTACTATGAACTTATCACCCATTTACTAGCTAGTATGGATAAATCGACGAAGTGTATTCATCACTCTGAATCCTTCCATTAGTTTCAACAGTAGAGTCTTTACGAATGTTATCACTTTTTGATTCAATATATTTTTTTAATGATACTTACAATAAAAAAGATTGTTTCAATTATTCGTTCATAATATTATTTGATTTTTACAATAAAAAAATATAATTTTCAACTACGTATCAAAACCACACTCATTTTATGTTCATTTCAATACAAAAAATAATCCATATCTAAATGTTAAACTGTTGTTCATTCCACATAACTATTTCTATTATTATCAATTATGACCCATGAATCTGTTACGTGATAATTCATAAAACTACTTTGACCAACATTTAAAAAAGAGAAAAATCAAAGTGAAATAATGAATTACTTCTTTTTCTAAAGTTAAATACAAATAAAACAATTTAACCGCTAAAAACTAGGTAAATAAAGATGTAGGAAATACTGAGTAACCTTATTTTTATACAAAGAGAATTAATCAAATCAAACTTTGATAATATGGAAATGATAATCTATAAAAAAAAGTCTTTAGGTCATTATTATTGTTCTTTGCTTTCAAATAATAAACTAAAAAAACGATGACAATATTTTTTAGCATTAAATTCAATACTATCTTTATTCATACACATCTATCTGTGTATATCTGTTTGTATGCATATATATGTGTGTATACATTAAAAGACTTTGTATATTAAGATATACATAAGGTGAAAAAGTTTGAATATCTATCTTTCAAAAGACATATATTACAAATAGATCTTTCACTGATGTTTAGAAGTTTAGATATTCTGTGAGTTTTAATGAAGTATGATGGATTCATCATAAAATTCAGTGTTAAGGATAGACTTCTGATGATAAACTTAAGATAAGGAAGTTATTGATTCCACGTATCAGACGGAAGAATTTTTCACAGTGCTTATTAATACAATAATAATGCTAATTAAGTTCATACTGATTCATTGAAGGATAATATATATATAACAGTTTTGTTCAGATTAGAAGATCATTACTAAAATGTATTCATTCAAAACAACGAAACAGTTTTTTTTTCTTTCTAAGCAGTCATATCATGTAATTGTATACATATAATTCAAATTAAGCGTTTATTTTCTTTTATCTATGAGAATAACCGTATATTGTCTTACACCATTCAAAATGAATTGGTAATGTGTTGCATTCAATGTAAAAACTGGGTATATTTCAGAATGTTTATCTGCAGCAACCTTAAGAATAGGACAATATTTATTTTTACAATTCAAAAGGCATTTTCTTGAAGTGTTTAAAATTAGAATGTTACAAATAATTAACATCACGCTGTACGTATATTATAAGAAATGCGAAATAAATAACAACTGAGCTTTGTTAGATATATTTCACGTCATAGTATGGTAACTATCATAAATTGGGCAAAAACTGATCTTCACATATCTTTTCATTTAATATTTATTAGGTACAAAAACTCATCTATGTTCATACAAACAAATAGCATATGCTTGAGCTAAAGGACTTGCTCCATCGATGTTGCCACAGTTAACAAATAGATGAAATAAAAAGATTGTACAACAAAATGTTTTCATCAATCAACAGGAAAATTTGTATAGTCATGACAAATATGTTACTTTTTGGGGGTAGAGAGGTATTTTTAAAACTTAGAGACAGAAGTTTGATGTGAAGCACTTAGTGTTGGTTATTAAAGGTGTTAACAAAAACACATAAGATGTTTGTAATTTGATATTGATTTAAAATAAGTTATTATTTTTCTCCTCCAAATTAACTCATCTACTTGCTGAGCAACTATTCTTTTTCTCATATATATTGTAGCAACTAACAAATATTCGCCAGCTAGACAAGAAGCATTCAAACTATTACGTCAAGAGATTGAGAAAGCAATGAGAGATAGAGCAGCACTTAGGAGTACTCATACACCTAACTACTTTCGGTCACAAGAAGGAATCGGATTTTTGCTGTCACAAGTAAGTTTCACAAAAATTTTACTGACATAGCCTTTCAGTTTTGTGATCAAAATGGCATTGGTTGTCAAATGTAGGTTACGTAATAACTTGTGATAGTCATTTAAATAAGTTCTTAAATTTTTCACTAACACTATTAGAAACTCTAACTCAGACAGGGAACCGTACATGTTCAATAGTCAGATATTACCAGCATACTGCAAAGCTGTCAGATGATTTCTAAATTTCCTTAGGCTAACCAGGGTCATTTGATAAATTCAATAATAATCAGAAATTACTGTCCAACTATCTTCCTGTCTTCTGTCGGTTCCTTGACTTAACAGGATGCAGAATGCAACTCCTATTTGTTGTCATTAACATATATGGTAAAATTCCTAAATAAAGTATAGGTGGAATATTCTGTTGAACTGACTGCTGTAAAAAATGTAGACTACTGCATTTTGGAAAACAAGATTAAAGTTGCACCGTTAGCCACAGAGTTCAATGGTTCTAGGCTCAACTTCTTGATATCTCGAGTGAGCACTCATATAGAGTCCCAGACTAGGACGAAACAACCCTGATGTTTTCTGATTTCCGATAGTTATTTATTTGAGTCGAAATATGATGCACATAATTTTTTTTTAAAATTTAGTTTGAAATACAAAACAACCTTTATTTCTAGATCCCCGATGTGAAAAAATTGTCTAAATTAGTGCCAGAATTAAGTAATCTACCAAGTCGAAATCCTAAACAAAATGATAAATCAAGTAAGTAATATGAATATTATAATTTCATAATTTCATAAACTTACGTTTCATTGATCTTGCGTTAAAAGATTATATTCTGTTAATGGTATGAGCTGATTCACTACAATTATACAAAATGTAGTACACTTATCGACCTAATGAAATACCCTAAAAATCATAGTATGTTTTATCCATTCATTAATAAAAACTGGTAGATTCAGTCTATGCATAATTTTTATGATTGACGGATTCCACTGAAATAATTTCGGTGACCAATAAAGATTAATTCGCTACGTTTAGGACTTGTAATAGGTTGGAAAAACAACATACTCCTTGAGTCATTTGCTGAGTATTCATTATTCCTCTGGTGAAAAGCTATTTAAATTCATTTTATACCATATAAAAAGACTTATTATTTTTAAGAATATGCTGTGAGATTTGCATGTTAAATTAGTTGCCATTAACCTGCGTTTTCATTGGTTGGACAGAAAGGTGATATCTTCAACACGTCAAATAACAAACAGTGAATTCTAGCTTTTGGTTGAAGTACTTCAAGAAATTCACGAACATATATTATTTATTAGACTGTCCCCAGCGACTGAGTAGAGAATTCGCTTTACTTTCTATTTGGGACTTGTAAGCTGAATGTACCTGCCTCCTAGTTTCGATACTTACATGGAGACCCAGAATAAGTACTTTTTTCTCCAAACGTCAACTTGCCATCACTTAAGCTGCTGATTCCAAGTAAACAAGCGTATTCAGAAAGGTATAGTAATTATTATTCAGGTATTGATTAAGCAGGCGCATCTAGATGATAAATATCAAGTACAACGAAACACCAGTTCTGAATTTTGTTGCTGATCTCAAAATAAAAAGAATAAAATTTAAAATTATAGGCAATGTCAATGGATTTCTTCATGGTCGATATGTATCGACAAGGACTGATTAAAACATATTCCTGAATATCTGTAGCCATAATCATATGCCTTCGAGAATAGTAAAACGTTTTGTCCAAAGAGTTTTATGTCGAATGTTTTAAAGTACTCGACTGAGGTCGGTGATTCTGCGGTTGTTATTGCTACTACAAGATAACTAAACAATGACCACCACATTAATCTGTATTCAAATACCAAACTTCCTGAAATACTAAATACTGAGTGAGGTGATATAAATTACCATTCAATGAAAGTTTAGCGATTTTTATTTCAAGTATGCTACCTCCCTCATTGTGTTTAGTTAGTAGAATCCATTTTAAAAAAATATGTAAATAGTGGATTCAAATTCCTTAAACCTATCTTAGTAACTAGCAGAGATTTAAAAAATGTCTTTGACTCATATTATTCAAAAAAATTATCCATCCGTTTCTGAGGTAACTTCTTTATGAGTTCTATAAATGAACAAAGCAGAAACAATATTTTCCTACTTGTTATATATACATATACATTTAATATACTAAGAAGTGTCGTACTACATTTTTTAAAATAAATATTTCTCCGATTCTTTTCTCTTGTTATTCAAATGAAATAATCACCGATTCGAAACTCAATATGATTATTTTAAACTTAAATTTGTTCGATACTTCCAATATTTATTTATTTATTTATATATTATTAGCCTTAACAGAACAATCGACTCTAATTCTTAGTGATTCTCCACCAAATATACCTAGTCCATTATTAAGAACAATAGAGAATGATAATGAGTTGGTCACGGAGAGAATAACAGGAAATACAAATAATAGCCATTTAACTATGAATAAACTTATCTATAATGACGGTTATAAAACTGGAATCGAATTGTCAACTAGAGAAACAACAAAAAAATGTTTTTATTATTATGATATTGACCCGTCGCAAATTAAAATGATTGGTAAGTGAAGTAATTATATATATATATATATATATATATATATATATATATATTTGTTCATGTATAATGTATTTAATCAAGCATACTTGTATAAACCAAATTCATGAGTACAATTAAAAATCAATAATTATTTTCCTAATCTCTTCTCTCTGTAATCAATAACAAAATCACTATCTCATGATTGAATAAACGCACCTAATTAGTATATTTTAAAATAAAAATGGCCTAATTAGTTTAAATAATTCGTTTGTGTAAATTAAACATTCACAGAATTTCTTTATTAAATAAAAAACTACATTGATATTGATTACCGTACTGTTGTTGTTCATCATCATTTGAAGATATATTGTGACTTTATTGAGGATTTAAGTATTATGATGATAATGTAGATAGATGATATATAAAAATATAATACATTACTTTATAATACCAAAATAAAGTAATTTCTTAATTGTATTCAAGCTATAATTGATTTTTGAAAACAAAAAACAGTCATGTTCTCTTCAGCAGTCGATTAGCATCAACTGATATTAGTTTACTAAAGATTAGCATATATATAAGGGACTCATCTTGACTGAACAATTACTGAAAGCCAGGAACTACTGAACAACGTCTTTGTCTTAGAATGAAATTGAATTTTAAAATATGGACTATCAAATCCAAAACTAGTGATCTGAAAGTAGTGCTATGAAGTCGAAATTTGATTACCTTCGGCTTGATTTCTTGTAGAACGTAAGTACAAATTTCTAAAGAGATTCAATAATGTAATGAACGAGTTTCAGTAATTTTCTTGCTTAAATCAATTCATCATATAAGCCTAACAATGATTATTAGAATTATTAGTTCCGATGTTAACTTATAGATTTCAGAACTATCGGAGTATTTCACTTCACGATAGTATTAACTCTATAATGTTTTCAAATGGTATTAATCATCTCTGACTAAAATGAAACCATTTTTACGGACACGTTAGAAGGATTTGTCGTTCTAATTGACTTCTGAATGAGGGTTAATATTAAATTATATGAATGGTGTATGATAAATACGAAGCTAGAGGTGAAACAATAAAAATATATAAGAATTTTTATGATAACTGGATAACTATATTTAAAGGAAATTGTAGGTTAGAAAGCTGAATCATGTAGCGTATTCACAGATTTTCAGTATATATATAGCTTAGATAAATCTAGTTATTAAAATGATGGGATCGACTGAGGATGTAAGTTGGAAGTCATTCAATAATAAATCCTTCAGGTCTGGTGAAAAGATTCTGTCATTACTGAAGTGTGTAATATATTCATAATGTACCCATTTATTATATTTTTAATTATGAACTAATTGGACTTAAACTTATTTTAGCAATATAGAAACAGTGAATAGTAAGGCCACATTTGTTACATAATGAAGGATAAAAAGTGTTAGAAGTGATGCTTACTCAAAACTGTATTGCCATAATCTTTCTCATGTACTACTTGGCACATTACGCTATGTTACAATTATAATTTCCCATTTTTCGCGACTAAAACTCTTCAAAAATGATATAGAAGAACAATGTATTTTTATTTATTATCTGAAGACAATCACAGTACTCATGTGCCTTTGGATGCTGTTGCCTTGGCTAAACAAAAGCAACTTCGAGTGCCAAAGTATTTATATGCTAAAAGACCCAGTTTGCCTAAATGCAACAACGGGGTAAATGGAATTAGCCATGCCACAAATTTCAATGTAAAACAAGCACTTATTGAAGATCCTGTACGTCGTCGAGCCTTATTTACAAGTATTATTGGCGGTCCACCGTTTGGTCAATTTTCACTTAGACGAATGCGTGGTTTACGTCTAACACCAAGTCGCATTAATGTTGGTGTGCTACCATACGGTGTAACCCGTAGTTTTTCAGTGAAATTAGTAAATTGGGGTCCGGAAACGGCATATTTTAAAATTAAACAACTACCAATTCAAAGTGGGATACGTGTTTTTTATACTCCGGGACCAATTCCAGCAGGTGAGTTTCCATGCCCGATAATCAATCTTTTATGTATCCATTTAACCGACAAACAGATCATACTTCAGATCATGTTGCGTAATTTAGGAATTTCGTCATATTTAGTACTCCATTTCACTTTTATTGACTCGTCTTTCAATAACTCTGTAAAACTGATTAAACCTTACTTTTATAGAAGTGTCTTCAAATAAATCGTCTTCACATTTATATCTTTTTATTCCCATTTTACAATATTTTATTTGAAAGAATAAGTGAACTAATTATTTATAGTCAGCTTATTAAAAAAAATTCCCTCGTTTCAGTTTCAAGAACACTTTATTTCGCGTATATAAAACATCGTGAATATACCCGAAATCCTTGCTTGATTATGTAACTGAGCTTTAAATTCTTTGATTGTTCTGTATCTAAGTCTTTCTCACTATTGAATTACATGAGATTATTTTTGACTAAAATTGAAACTTTGGTTTTTTTTCGAATAGTAACTTTGGAAGCATGAACAGATATATTTTAATCTTATAATAATATATTTCTACAGCACTCTTCGCCATATTTATCTATTGAGACAATTACATAAACGGTCCCTGACCGGAAAGAAGGCGAGATTTGAGACTTAAAATACTACTGACGATATATAAATAATAAACCTTGTTTTGATACTTATGTCAGTTATATCTAAACTTATTATCCCAAAATATTTTCTTTTTTTAATAGGCTTATCTCGTCGATTAACAATTGAAGTATCGAATCAACGTCAAGACCGACTGGAAAGCTACCCATTTAACCAACAGATTGATGACCGAGGACTAAAACAGACAGCAAACCATGATGCACCGAAGAAATCCCGCCATTCAAATATAAAATGGGATATCGATAAATATAATGAAGAGAATTCAAAAGATATTGAAAATGATAACTATAACATTGACAATGACGAATTGAAAGAGAAATTAAGTATAGACGATAAAATCATCACCTTCTCTGAACATCTTGAAATAACTACTGACACACATATATTGTATTTGTTAATAACAGGTTGCCGAATTGAAAATTATAGTTCAGTACAGTCTTCAATGCTTAATGCTAGTGAAGATATCATCAAACCGAGGTTTATTCAACCTCTCATGTCGTAGAAGGAAACAAGAATACTACAATTAAAAACACTGGGCAAAGACTTTTTTATAATTTACTAATTAGGAATCAACTTATTGAATAAAATTATATTCTTGACGAAATACTTATGTCTTCTATACATTGAGTAGTAAGAATTCAATAGATATGTAATATGGTACAATCTGAAATTCTATTACAATGACCCAAATATTAAACGTAAAATTTATACGTGAAATAATTTCAGCGACTGAAATACAAATAATTCCAACGTTTCATCTGGCAATCAATAAAAGTATTTTTGATAATTTTGACTGTTTCCCTTAAGAAGTTAGACCATTTTGATGGATAAAAAATTTCTGTCACTGAAATTATTTCAAATATAATTTTTACGTATAATGTCTTGTATGTACTTACCTTAAATATCTTTCGAACTGAATATTCAAACTTCAACAAATCTTTATACAAATGATTCAAATGTTTTCATTTATTTTTTAATTCATTTAGAAATTATTGTCATAAGTGATAAAATAGTTGTACTGAACCCCAGATCATTTTAATATGGATAGATAGATAATATAACTTGTTTTGATATCTATAAAAACTCCTTACTGAATATTCTCTTAACTTCTGTAACTAGATTTGAAAATCTTTATTTAACATGGTTCTAAGTTATAATTCATTAGAATAACAGTTGAACTAATTGTATCTGCTTGTAAAAAATTGTTCAGTATTTTCTGATTGTTGCCTTAGATCAAAACAAGACAACACATTTTGAAAGAGTAAAATCTCAAACCAATATATCTCTCAGTATAAAGTTGTGAAGATTGCTGAGTTTAGACTGATATCATGAACGGATCAATGTTAGGCCACCATTGAAAAACTGCAAGCACTGAACGGTCGTTTTGTCATAGTATGGCACTCCTCAGCAGTGGGCATCCACGATTCCGAACGCGGACCTCGAACCAAGGACCTTCGGTCTCGCGCTCGAACACTAGTGCCTAGCTTCAAAATGGATTTCTCGAAGTTCTAGTGAGGAGCCGTGACCAGTTGACTTCAACCGTGCCTGTTGTGAGGCAGTTACTCACTGAAGACAATGGTGGACGGTAGCGTAATATGGTGGATTGGTTGAAGTTAGACATTAACATCGCTGGATGCCGGCCCATCGGTCTACAGGTTAGGCGTTCGCGCACGAAACTGAAGGTCCTGGGTCTGAGGTGCGGGATCGTGTATGCGCCCTGCCGAGGAGTCCCGTACTAGGACGAAACGACCGTCTAGTGCTTCCAGGTATTCAATGGTGATCTAACATTGATCCATTCATGATATCAATATGTCCCTACTTCGAAAATGATTGGTTCGGTAGTAAATTACAGCTGACTGACCCAATTAATTAAGACAAGATTTAACAAACTATATTAATGTTATTCCTGATGTACGTCCACTCAACTCGTATAATATTGAAATTCGAAGCTCATGTTCTCATGAACATATACTGGAATGCATTATACTAAGTACACCTGTTGTAAATTTACTTATATATATATATATAAATATATATATATATATATATATATATATATATATATATATATATAAATTCAAACTAAAGCGTCAGTGGAAACATCGAATCATATTTTCAGAAATAACTTCCTGAATATACACTAAAACCTGGAGATTATTAATAAAATTTTATAATTATTTCTATAAGTCTACAGAATCATATATCAATGAATATCCTGGAACCAAATGTAACTGTCAATGAATATTGTTTGTCAAAACATAAGTTTGAATTTTGAACTTCAAGTTTTGCTTTAAGTTGAGGTTTGTGTCACGTGTTAACGATGATGCTGATTAGTTAAATAGCGCTTGATGTATTGTTTTTTATTAAAGAAATTCGTGTAAACGAATGAGTATGGGCATCACTGTATTACAAATTTCCATGTACTTCACTTATTCAAAATGTCTTAAGAAATGCTAGAAATTTAAAGTTGAATTTAACTATTTTTAAGAAGTGTAGCAGTTTTGTCCTTCACTGTGAAAGCTTAACAAAGTGATTTTCTCGAGGGGAAACAAATTAAAAATGACTCTATATTTAGTCTTCTGTTGATTTTATAAATTATGAAATTTCTTTTATCATTTTAACATTAGTTTTACCAATTTTCAAAAATAATCCATTTATCATGAAATCCCTAAGTATTATTAAGTCGGGCAAAAATTATAAATTTATTACTGAGAATTTTAAACAAGTAGTGCAAAATAACTATTTCAGAGTAACAGATATATCACCGTTTAGCTCCATGACATTTTACGGTTGTATAAATATTCTCTTTCTATATCAAAAAATTATTATCAACTCCAAACAAAAGTGATAAGCGTCTGAAGATGTATCAATCCTACTGACCTCTCCCAGATTTTACACTCATCATTAAAGATCAATAGATAAAAGCTATTCTATTGGTGAATTGTTCTGATAACAATTTATCCATTAAGAAACTGAATCATTTAAAAAAGTCTACGATTTTATAATTCAGAATTGATTGAATTTTTTCAACTAAAAGATAAAAACTGGATAGCAGTTATTTTACATGATCAAAATGTGTCTTATTTGGTATACGTTAATTGAATGATGATCAGTAAAAATAATTCGTGTCTTCATTTTGTACATCTGTTCCTACGCTCAAAACAGATATGTCTGTTGTGGTGTGTGCTACTGATATCAACATATATAAGTAGTATTTATTACCAATCGAAAGTTGAATACCTAGCAACAGAAAGTTGAGAAGATCGAAGAGAAAAGAACGAGAACAGAGAGTGATTGATATAGAAATGAAAGAATAATAAAGTCTGAGACAATTGATGAATATTTCACAAATGAATTATTACTGTATGGTTCTCAGATTTTACTAAGAGATTCTATAACTTTGTATTCAAGCGCATTTGCTTGTCCCCACTTATGTTCTTGTTCACTGCATTCCTACCCAGTTGAAAACGATGTTTATTATTGTATTATATAAAGAAATGGCCTTGTTTTCTTATGTATACAATAGATACTGACTGCTAAGATGAATTAATTGTTTTCCCGCAAAATGTATTATCTAATAGAGGATATATATTAGGGTGGTTGATTCTCATTTATTTGGATACATAAAGAAAGCAAATGGTTAATTGTTTTTCTAAATACAAAATAGAAAAACTTATTGTACGTAAACTGAGGAAAAATAAGAAAACTTATAAGAATTGTTAACAACGTTAATAATACAAATTAATGGGCAAATAAATTTCAGTTTGTGCGGGGAAAGAAAATAGAAATGTTTTATTTTAAATTTAAAAAGAACCCATTGTTTACTTTACTCTAAAAGTTAAAATAAAAAGTAAATAATTAATCGATATTCAATAATCAACATTTTAAACAGTACAGATTATACGAAATAAGTCAATCCAAATTATTACATGCATTTACATTTTCAATATTTTTTTTTCAAAAAAGAAAAATTACATTATCGTAAAAATTAAAATAACAATAGTCAGTCAGTTATGATTATGCCGAAAATCGATAAACATTTTGTTAAGGTCAATGAAATGTTCTTTATTATATAGTTAAGTAGTAGTATAATTTAAAACTAATACTGACCTGGGTAATCCATTTTTACAACAACATTTGTTCATAAATCAACGAGATGACCATATGTAAGTAAAAAGAAACAGTGTTATGTACCTAATTTAGAAATTATATTGACTGTTCTGGATAAGGACATATTACTTAATTGACAGAAAATGATATGGAAATGAAACTTCAATGACATTGTTTTCATTTGTGACTTCTACTTGAATAGCCGTCTTAGGAGAATTTGGTTAACACAATTTGATCAGTTAAACGTCATCCGTCTAATATGGTTAAGTATTTGATACTCACTGAATTTTATTGATCAAGATATAGAATGGTTAGTAGGTTATTTAAAAAACCATTATGTTTACTTGAGCTAAGTTGCAATTCTCCTAATTTTTACAATAGGTCAGATGCGTTTACATTAAACGGTAAGCAATAACTCAGCAAAGATTTCAGATCCATCTTACTGATTAATACCAAGAAGTGAAAAGATTGAGTTCAAAGATCTTTGCTACTCAACATTGCTTTAAAAACTACTAGTTAAAAGTTATTAACTTGCCTATAATTGGTTCTGTAGCACAATATGGTTACAGCATTCGACCTCTGGAGGTGTAAGTATAAATTGCACTTTTGACTATAACAAGACGCAACACATAATACTTACATACATATACGATTATTATTATTATTATTTGATGGGTTTTGTGGATATTACAGTAATTTCAATGGTTAAGATCATGAGTCAGTTAGAGCTAGACCACCATAGAAAACCTGGAAGCAGTAGACGGCAGTTTCGTCCTATTGTGGAACCACTCAGCAGTGCGCATCCACGACCTCGCCCCCTGCGAGATTTGAACCCAGGACCTACTGGTTTCGCACGTGAGCACTTAATCACTAGATCACTGAGCAGGCACCCAACGGTGTTAATATATAACTTCAACTAATCCACGAAATTGAGCGACACATCCATCATTGTCTTCAGTGAGTTACTATATCACAACTGACCCGGTTGAACTCCATTGGTCACTGCTTCTCACTAGAACTCCAGGATATACGTTTTGAAGCCAGTCACTAGTGAGCATACGTTGATTAATATCAGATGGGTTTTGTGGATATTATAGTAATTTCAATGGATTGAGTCCCACAATAGGACGAAACGGCCGTCCAGTGCTTCCAGGTTTTCCATGGTGGTCTGGCTTCAACTGACTGATGATCTTAACCATTGAAATTATTAATATTTGTTTCAACTGTTTTTCTATAAAACAAATTGCTTTATGAATGATAGAAATAATAATACTGGGTATAACAATAACATTGTAGATTTCCATAAATGAAATACTAATTCAATCTCAAACATTCCATTTGTTTTTTCCATTTTATACTATCAACATATTATTATGTAATGTTTTGAAATGATTCGTATGTGATTTTACTCTACTTAGCCAAATTTTAAATAGCAAAACTGTTGTTGAATATATACATATATCATATCTAATAATCAGTAATAAGCACGTTTAGTTAATTACCCTGTTACTGAATTTCACATGAAAAAATATTTGGATACAATGTTTTAGTCCGATCAATGATTTTATTTTCACTGAAGATGGTGGGGCATGTTAAGTAAAAGTATATATTACAACTAATGTCAATACTATGATAATAAATTAGTTTAATTGATAAAATAATATTTATGAGCAGTGAAATATTATGAAGGATGATAGTAATTTGATGCATTAATAGTTTTTTTTTATAGTTGAGTCAATTTTTCAGGTTATTAACACTGAACTTTTTAGTTAAAATGCGTTGTTACTTTTCAAACGGTTAATCGGTATATTCTATTAATGGATATTAGAATGTTATAAGTACCCTATAGATATTTATGTGAATGTTAGTGGATATTTAGTTTTAAGCTACATTTGTATACTGTATGGAAATGACTTACTTATACCTGTTACACCGCTTGCCAGCATTATCCATCAAATCCTGTCCACAACAATCCTTTTAGGTTTTTTCCAGTTGCTATTGATCATTTTCGTGTCTTCTTCCAATTACCGACGTAGTGTGTTCATCAGCCTTCCTCCTTTCCACGTCCCTTCAACATTTCAAGCTATCACTTGCCTCGTGATGCTGTTTGATGATTTCCGTAATGTATGCCCTATCCACATCCAGAGTTCCTCCCTAATTTTCTCCCCAGATGGAAGCTGGTTTGTTCTCCCCCACAAAAGGCTGTTACCGATGGTATCCGGGCAACATGTTGAGTATCTTGTGGAGATGACCGTTTATAAATACTTGTACCTTTTCGGTGATAGTTGTAGTAGTTCTCAAGGTCTTGACGTTCGTATTTAAGATTCTCACTTTGATACTGGTTGACAGTTATTTTGAGTTCCATGTTTTCTTCAGGTGTACAAATGCTGACCTTGCCTTGCCAATCGTTGCTTTTACGTTTGCGTCAGATCCCCCACCTCCATCGATGATACTTCCCAGGTACGTGAACGTTTTCACCTCTTCTAGCGTTTTTCCATCAAATGTAATTTTGTTACTGTTCTCCGTGATGGATTTGAGGATCTAGCTTTTTCCTTTGTGTATGTTGAGGCCTATTGATGTAGATGCTGTTGCTACACTAGTTATCTTCATCTGCATTTGTTCGTGTGTTTGGCCAGGTCATCTGAGAAGCCTAAATCTTCTAATTGCTTCAGAGATATTCATCGTATTCTGTGCTTTCCGTCAGGTGTCGAGGTATTTACATTCCAGTCGATCACCAGAAGAAAGAGGAGGGGGAGAGTAAGCAGCCTTGTCTGAATCAGATCTGTGGGTGCTGCTTTGATGTCCGGCGGATTCAACGAAGCTGGTCTACTCAAGATTTCTTCAAAAAAAAATCTACTCATTTATTTCTCTGTTCTTGAATCTCGGTGGTTGTCTTGTCTTTGTCCCTGATTGGTCTCTCTGGTTTATTATAATTCCCTGCAAGTTTTTTTATTGTGTCATATAGCTATCTCATATTTCTTTCGCTTGAAGCTTTGTCCGCTGTCGTTGCTACCTCTTCCACGTATTTTCGCCTGTCGACTCTAATTTTCTTCTTCACTTGCTTGTTTGCTTCTGTGTATTCGGATTTTGCCTTGAATTTTTCCGCACTTGCTCGGCTATTGTTAATTACTGTCTTCTTGTTCTCTCTTTCTGGAATATTTCCCAGAGTTTTGATAGAGATTCATTCCTCATGATGATGCTCCTTTAGGCCTAGAACCTCCTGACACGTTAAAGTAATTGCTTCTTTGACACATGTCCTGTTGTCCTCTATCTTAGTTTTCTTTCCAGTTGATCCTGTGAGACTTGGAACCTGTTGTAGAGAGTTATCTTGAATTCGTTGAGTTTGTTAGTATCTCATAGGAAGGCTGTATTGAAGCTTTGTAATGCTGCTCTCTCAGTTGTCCAGTGTTTCTTTAGCTTCAGTTTCATCTTGACCACAACCAGGCGATGATCTGAAGATATATCAGCTTCTCTTCTGATTCTCACATCTTCCACTGACCTTCTGAATTTTTTATTTTCAAATATGATCTTTCTGGTTCTCTGAAGTGTGGTTCGGTGAATTCCATGTAGCTTTATGTATACGTTTGTGTGGAAATATTGTGCAACCTATGACCAGTTTGTTGAATGCACACATTTGCAAATCTTTCCCCATTTTCGTTTCTCTCTCCAAGTCCATGTCGTCCCATGATATCTTTTTATCAGTGCTTAGCAAATCAATATTAGACTAATAGATTTAATTGAAAATAAAATCATCACAAATTATATAAGAACTTTCGTTTAAATTTGATTGGATAGTTTCACAGTGTTCGGTTGCCGAATAGATGTGAGACATTAAAGAGGAAGAATGTATTAGTAAAATTTCAGTGAATGAATTTGAAGTGAATCCAATATTTTCGCCGACCAAAGACAATATATCGTTTTGGTGGAGTTTTGTTCTCTGAGCTGGATGGTTTGGTCGTGGAGCTTTCATCGTTCTTCTGAACGACATCATCAGCACAAACTTCAGATAGAAGTGAAGTGTTTGAATTTCTCCATATGTGTCTCAAAGCTTGTTCTGTGCGCCTCGACGTTGATTGGTTCTTATTGACCTTAAATTTGTCGTTGTTTACTTCTTTGTTTTGGTTGTGTCTCCCATTGTTTTGATTTTGTTCTTATGTTTGTGCATGATTTTTCTGATTGGTTGATAAATTGGACTGATTTCAATATGCTTGTTGATTGCTGATTGACCTGTGTGCCAGGCTTCTAAAAAATCTGTGGTGTTTTTGGAGTTTCCTATTTTATTTATTTTTTTTTTTTTTCTTTTATTTTTACAAAAAGAAAAAAAAAAAAAAAAAAAAAAAAAAAATCAAAAAAAAAAAAAAAAAAAAAAAAAAAAAAAAAAAAAGAAAAAAAAAAAAAAAAAAAAAAAAAATAAAAAAAAAAAAAAAAAAAAAAAATTTTGGTTTGTATATATTTTATATTTAATAAAAAATTTTTTTTTTTTTTTTTTTTTTTAAAATTATTATTATTTTTTTTTTTTTTTTTTTTTTTTTTTTATTAATTTTTTTTTTTAAAATTATTAAAAAAAAAAATTTTTTTTAAAATAATATTTTTTTTTTTTTTTTTTTTTAAAAAAAAAATATAAAATAATAATTATTATTTTTTTTTTTTAAAAAACTTTATTTTTTTTTTTTTTTTTTTTTTTATTTTATAAATTTATTAATAAAAAATTTTTAAATAAAATTTATATAAAAAAAAAAAATTTTTTTTTTTATAATAATAAAATCAAAAAAAAAAAAAAAAAGGTTCAATTCTACAATAGGCTGCAGTCAATCGTCGAGAAGTGCCCAACAAAGGACCTGACCATTCTGATGGGAGATCTCAATGCCAAGGTTGGAACGGACAACACTGGATATGAAGACATCATGGGACAACACGGACTGGAAGAAAGAAACGAAAATGGTGAGATTTGCAAACCTATGTGCCTTCAATAAACTGGTCATAGGCGGCACCATATTCCCACATAAACGCATTCACAAAACCACATAGACGACACCGGATCACACTACACAAAACCAAGTCGTCCATATCTGCATCAACAAAAAGTTCAGGAGGACTATAGAGGACGTGAGAACCAAGAGGTAAGCTGATATATCATCAGATCATCACTTGCTGGTCGCCAAGATGAAATTGAAACTCAAGAAGCACTGGACAACGGGGCAGACAGTATCACAAAAGTTCAATACGGCCTTTCCTCAGGATACTAACAAACTCAACAAATTCAAGATAGTCTTCAGCAACAAGTTCCAGGCCTTTCATGATCTACTTAATGGAGAAGGAACTACTGTGGAGAGCAACTGGAAGGGGATCAAAGAGGCAATCACTTCAACATGTCATGAGGTCCTGGGTCATAAGAAGCACCATCACAAGGAATGGATCACTGTTGATACACTGGATAAGATTCAAGAAAGGAGGAACAAGAAAGCAGCAATCAATACCAGTCGAACAAGAGCAGAGAAAGCCAAGGCACAAGCTGAATACACAGAAGTAAACAAACAAGTGAAGAGGAGCATCAGAACCGACAAACGCAAATATGTGGAAGATTTAGCAACGACGGCGGAAAAGGCTGCAAAAGAAGGAAACATGAGACAATTGTATGACACGACAAAGAAACTCTCTGGAAATCACCACAAACCAGGACGACCAGTGAAAAGCAAGGAAGGCGAGGTAATCACCAACATTGAAGAGCAACAAAACAGGTGGGTAGAATACTTCAAAGAACTCTTGAATCGACCAGCTACACTGAACCCACCCAACGTCAAAGCAGCACCCACGGACCTCCCAATCAATGTTACCCCACCAACAATTGAAGAGATCAGCATGGCCATCAGACAAATCAAGAGTGGCAAAGCAACAGGACCAGACAACATTCCAGCAGAGGCATTAAAAGCAGACGTGTCGGTAGCTGCAAGAATACTCCACATTCTCTTCAATAAGATTTGGGATGAGGAACAAGTACCAACAGACTGGAAAGAAGGACTTCTGATCAAAATACCGAAGAAAGGCGATCTCAGCAATTGTGATAACTACTGGGGCATCACTCTTCTCTCAATACCGGGAAAAGTCTTCAACAGGGTATTGTTAAACAGGATGAAGGTCTGCGTAGACGCCCAACTTCGTGACCAACAGGCAGGATTCCGTAAGGATAGATCGTGTACAGACCAAACCACAACTCTACGGATCATTGTGGAACAATCAATGGAATGGAATTCATCACTCTACATCAACTTCATTGACTACGAAAAAGCATTTGATAGCCTGGACAGAACAACACTATGGAAACTTCTTCGATACTACGGCGTGCCTCAGAAGATAGTCAATATCATACAGAATTCATATGATGGATTACACCGCAAAATCGTGCATGGAGGACAGTTGACAAGCTTGTTCGAAGTGAAGACCGGTGTCAGGCAAGGTTGCTTACTCTCACCCTTTCTCTTTCTCCTGGTGATCGACTGGATCATGAAGACGTCAACGTCTGAAGGGAAGCACGGGATACAAGGGACATCTAGGATGCAGTTGGACGATCTAGACTTTGCAGATGATCTGGCCCTTCTTTCCTAAACGCAACAACAAATGCAGGAGAAGACAAACAGTGTAGCAGCAGCCTCAGCAGCAGTAGGTTTCAATATACACAAAGGGAAAAGCAAGATTCTCCGATACAACACAACATGCAACAAACTAGTCACACTTGACGGAGAAGATTTAGAAGATGTGCAAACCTTTACATATTTGGGCAGCATCATTGATGAACAGGGTGGATCTGGTGCAGATATGAAGGCGCGGATCGGCAAAGCAAGAGCAGCATATTTACAACTGAGGAACATCTGGAACGCAAAGCAACTGTCAACCAACACCAAGGTCAGAATTTTCAATGCAAATGTCAAGACAGTTCTACTGTATGTGGCAGAAACCTGGAGAACTATGAAAGCCATCATCCACAAGATACAGGTGTTTATTATCAGTTGTCTATGCAAAATACTTCAGATCCGTTGGCCGGACACTATTAGCAACAATCTACTGTGGGAGAGAACAAACCAGATCCCAGTGGAGGAAGAAATTAGGAAGAAGCGCTGGAAGTGGATAGGACACACATTGAGGAAAGCACCCAACTGCGTCACAAGACAAGCCCTCACATGGAATCCTCAAGGCCAAAGGAAAAGAGGAAGACCGAAGAACACATTACTCCGAGAAATGGAAATAGACATGAGAAAAATGAACAAGAATTGGATGGAACTAGAAAAGAAGGCCCAGGACAGAGTGGGTTGGAGAATGCTGGTCGGCGGCCTATGCTCCATTAGGAGTAACAGGCGTAAGTAAGTAATCATCGAATAGTTGTTCCTACATAATTTGGGTGCTAACGAAAAGTCAGTTTCTTTTAGGATCTTTAGTTGTTTGTTAATTGATAAAGTAAATATTTATTGTTTATCACTGTCAAACAACATTGAGTTGATCAATAAAATTTACCAGTTATTGACATAGTTTCTTGAGATAAAATTAATAGGGAATAAATATTAATTGGATTAAATATTAGAAGAGAAGTAGTTATTTGTGTATTTTGAATTCAATTTACTTACCTTTATTATCACCATTCAATTATCTATAATATCTGGGACTGATTAAGATGAACAGATTCAGCTTAAGGTTTGAATGCATTGAACGTTATCTGGAGCAAGCACACTGATGCGTGAAATACAATTAATCTTTGTTCATTCAATTTCCGATCCGAAGCACAATTAGGAGGACTCCAAAAGAAGTTAATAAGTTAATCTTCAATTGAGAGTTTTCGGTTGTTTGATGTCAAAATTAATACACCTAAAGATATAGAGGAAATGAAAATTTTGAGTCACTAGGGTCAGTGACTCTATTGAGTTATTTTATATATAGGCTTTGGTATGTAATTCAAATTGCAACTTATCCATCCTATAAACTGTTATCGTATTTAAAAACTATGGTGGTTGTGTATTTATTCACTTGCTTTTACCATGTTTACTGATTATGTACTCACCTCACCTACTTCATGTGACTGGTTTACCAACATTCAAACGTGCATCAGTCTAAACGACAATATGTAGTCGGTATCAATGCTAAGGTTAAAATTGATAGTTTCAAATAAATTGAGCATTGATTAGAAAGTTAATAATAAATATCTTAATGTTAATTTATTTCAGTTATTTATTTACTTTAAAGTTATGAAACGTCAAAAATATAATTTTGTCCTTATTGAGATATTACAAAAATATATTTACTATAACACATAGTGTTAATTTAGGGTTTTTCTCCGGATTCTTTATCAGATCATTTGAACTGTATTAATCGTACAATTTCACACTTTCATATTACAAATTTAAACTCTATCCTTTCTTACCATATAGGTCACACAAGTTTTCATTCTTAAACAATGCACATATACATACACACACAAATTTACATACTTATCACTTATGAATCACCTTGACAGAAATGACATGACATCAACTTGTTCAGACCTGTTTTTGATTGATCAAATATTATTCTTGCATTGTTCCGTTGTACTATTTAAACTTGGATTAATTTTAATTTGGTTATTTATTCTCTGAAGAAGTGACTTACACTAAGTCACGAAACGTCAGAAAATCCAATTTTCTACTCATTGGGATATTACAAATATATTATTTTTATTTATAACAATCAACCCAATGCTCAATTTATTCGAAATTATCAAATCAAACCTTGGTAATGACACCTATGTATTAATCGTAGTACATTGAACCTTTGTCTTTAATAATGACACTACCTTAAACCTTGGAATATTTAAGGTTTACAAAGGCTTTATAATCGGATTAATTTATTTCATTGCTCAAATCTTGTGTCTTCTACTGTAGTTAGTATTTACTATGTCTATAATTATTAAAGCAGTAACCTGAATTGCACAATATGTCTTAAGGTATTCAAAAAAAAGATTTCTATGTATTTGATTAGTTACATATCCAAGTACAAAAAAATTAAATATGTCCCTTATTTATTTTTCACATGTATTCACGTAAACAATAACTTGTGGTCACGAATTTATTAAATTCATTGTACACATCAATGTGTATATATTTTTAATTGTAAAACTAATCTTAGTGGTTCATAACATTAAACCTTGTTTATGAAGAGTATAATGAAGGCCATACTACATATTGAAAATGAAAAAGACAGGCATCAGCAACACAGAGCCTGATACAAATGTGCGTTGGCACAAGTTGCCATCCTACACCAGCACGACGAAAGAAAAATGGTCATATTAATAGTAAAAGCGATGAAAACAACTTAGTAACAATTAAAATCAGAAAGTTTGAAGATCAGTTCGGAAGAACAAAACAAAAGGATTTTTTGGAGAAATACTGAAATTCAAGATCAAGAGGAAGATAAAAAGTGAATCCATCTGTGTCATTACGAACAATTCCGAACTACCTTACACACAGTCTCCAGCCACTGATTGTTGTTATCACGTTGATCCCAACCAGGTAGTCTGTATCTACCGGCATGGCTCAGGTCAGTAGTTAATCACGTTACGGACAAGTTTTACATTTTGGCCTGGCTGTTTTTAGCCTTCTTCCAACCTAATTTTTCATCAGCGACCATCGCTTTTCGATGTAGGCATTGGTCATGTGTACGTATGACATGTCCTCATGACCTCGGTCGACAAAGCTTCACAACCTCATTAGCCGATCTGCCACCTTTGTATAATACCCTATGAAAAACCTTTGCATTTTTCACTCGACCGTACCCCAAAACATAATTAATTTTTCAAGGATATGTATAATCCAAAACCTTCATCCCACATATGTCTTCTATCTTCACATTTCATGTTTTACGTTCATAAAGTATAACAGAGTAGATTGCTGTGCAGTATTTACACACTTTGGTTGATGGATTGATATCTTGACTATAGTAAAAGTAACGAAGTTGTCAAAGGTTAACAATGCTTCCTGAATCCATGTCGAGGTTTCATAATAAACCAATTACTCAGGACTGATGATACTTTCAAGATAAGTGGACTGGTCATTATACTCAACTAATCCACTATTTTCCACTGCTTTAGAAGTTGACAGGAACCAACTACGAAGCAACAATTTACATTTAGAGGGGGGAAATTAAATAAAAATGGGACAGCCGGCAACCTTGATGAATATCACTTAATGCTGACAATTCTGATTGCAATCAGATATAAGATCTGATTAGAAGAATAATCCTTAAGCAAATAACCCTCACAAAATCTTTATACTTGTTTCAAGTACCGTTCTATCAAAGATATCGCTATCAACTGTAAGAAAGCTAATCAAATCGTTAGTATTTTTACGTACCAAATATCATTATATTTCAATATGTTTTGAATTGAGTCATTTATATTTGCTAAACAGTTCAACTAAATATAAACGGAATAAATCAAGGTATCTCTATTCATTTGAATTATCTTTTTCACAAATGAGTAACATATGAAGCATCAGTATATGTTCCAGTTTATTGAGTCGCTTTAGTGATTTTTAATTTCGATATATTCAGTTGAGATGAAACATTCCAACAGCATATCTCATCAAATGTTTTCTGGAGATGTAATATTTGTTAACTGAAGTAAACATGAAAATTTCTCAACATTTTTAACACGGTGTCTCATGTAATAAAAAGGTGTGAATAATAAATTAGTGGACTTTTTTAAAGAATATTTTGTTGGTATTTAAAAGTTTTCTTTCATTAGCAAGCTTAGTGTTCAGATTAGCAGACAGTTCTCATTTCCAGAACGGTTGATCACTTAACTTTTATTCTGAAAGTAAGTGAATATCAATTAGAAAACTTAGATGAAATATTTATTAGTTCGGTCTACTGTTAAATTAAGGCTAAACATGTATCAGAAACACGATTTGCCTCCCGATGATTCCAAACTATGTCCACGTTTGGACTTATCCGAGTACATTTTTTTATTATGTAAATAACTATAATAGTTTGTTTTCTTTATCAACAGTATAGGCTTCGTGTTCCGCATTTCATCGGAATAACCATAGTTGATTCACAAGCACTGAATACACTACAATTCTTTGCTTACAAACTGTTTAAAATAATTCGACTCACTTTAAATTGGTAAACACCTAATCACACCATGCTTCGATCAAAAAAGAATAAAACTATAAACTTGTGCATCAGACACGGCGAAAACTTTTACACATATTTTAGTCCAACAAAACATGAATGTAATGTCAGCGATGGGCAACATTCATCTTTGTTGATAAAATTAGACAAAAAAATTTAGAGAAGCTTGAGATTAGGTTTCCGTTTACAAGTTTATTACAAACTAGGTAAGTATTATGGAACCACCAATGATATGATCATTTCCTAGAAGTTTCATTTCTTAGAAAGATATGTATACGGATGAAGTATAACCAAATGGATACTAACTGCTACTAAGCATTAACACATCATTCTTTACTTTATGTAAGTAATTCATTGGTTGTAGTCTCCTGTGAAGAATAAAAGAATTGAGGTGTGAGAACAAATTATATGTATCTTTTCATTACACTGTTTGAAATGTTCTAGGATACCCAATAGTATCTTCTTCAAATATTTTTATTGGACATCTTACAACTGTCTTCTTCCAGCATAAAAGTCAGTTGTCAGTCAGAGGCCATATACTTTTACCTACTGTACAAGAACAAACTGGTCCATATCAATGTTATTTAACAATGAATTCGACATTAACTTCGTAAAGCTCAAACAATTATCAATAAATGCGGTATACTGTTCAATAATGAGAAAGAATGTTAACTAGTAACCAGTCACTATCATCTTGAAGAAAATCCTCTAAGTTGTATTTTCTAGATCTATGATAATGGCAGGAAAACGGAAAGTTACATGTTGCAGTTATTACATCCTAAAAAAATTATTTTTCAGGGATGATTTCATAACACATTTTTGTTCCCCAATCGACAGACATTCGTCCATAAAGGATACAGAACAATATGATTACCTTCTGGTAATCAGTCTTTGGTTGCGTACGTAAGCACATGGTGAGTTATGCTAATAACTGTTCAAACAGAAGGACAGCGTAGTCATATCATAATGAGGACAACATACCAAGGTAATAACATACATAGTGGAGATGACTCAACGAAGCTATTAACAAAGGCATCTAATCGAAACATAAACAAACTATCAATACATTAACCGTGAACAAATCAGAATTCATTTGTATGACAGAAATAAGTGAATAATCACTTCAATTTTATTGGCTGTTAAACTTATTTCCCTACTTAAAATTGACCAATCAAAAATGGAACTTAGCCTTGTAAGCTGACCTTCAAGGCCATTTTGATACGAGTTAGACGGACACTAACAATCGAATGGCGTAAACATATGATACTTTATTATTCACAATTCCCATTTATTTGTAATTATAAAACGGTGCCAATAAAAACGATAGTTTTAGCATAAGTAAGCATCTACTCTCTTTGGATCTCTAGCAATATTACTGTAATTTCAGATCAAATGTGACATTAAAGCGACTAACTTTTATCAGATGGTTTTCTGTTTACTTTAAAATATCGAAGTTTTGTAAAATTTCCAATGATGAGAATACACATTTATAAAAATAGCATATTATCAGGTTGAATGAGAAGAGGTTGGGAACAGGTTGTCTGTTAGTCCATACCTTTAAAATACTGATACTATCTATCAGAAATTCTCACATGGTAAATGAATTCAAATTCTACGTTTCCTGGGTCTAGTTGTAAAGAAGTACTGAAATCATTCTGCCGATGGACCAGTGTACGTGGATTACAACATTTATTACGCTCAGA